TAGGAATATTCAATGAAAATAAGATAAATTGAGAATGATAGCATATTTACGGAATAAGAGAAATCTTGTCATGAGACAGCTGGTTTCCATTTGCTGTATAGGCCGTTGGTGATGTAAAACGATAATATTTACCTCAATATCTAAGGTTAACCCATGTTAATTCATTATATCTGAAGGAATGACGAATTATGATATATAAATAATATTAGACTAGCTTAGCTTTGATATGTGTATCAGTAGTGCAAGAGTGTTAAAAAAACCCACAATTTTCACGTTTAACTGCAGAATATCCAAATTTGGTCAATTCTAAGGATTAGATAATTAACATGTGGTTAACGAATTTAACTGGGTCTTTATTTTATATTCCATTTTCATATGAGCTATTGTAATCATGATGCCACTCGCAGGGTATGACGTATCAACGTACTTAAACAGGAGAGGCGCGATAGGCTACAATAGGGTAACCGGAATATTACATACATGTATATACATTTTGTTAAATTGTTAGTTAATTAATTTCCGAACCTGTAAATGAACTTATGGTTTTTCTTTACAAATACGAGAATAAAATTTATCTATTCAGGTTTTACTCTTTTTGAAGAAAAGAAAAACATTCACTAATGAAAAACAGATACCAAACAAGATATATACATCGCTTTTATCATGATTAACTTTCATAAGAAATGCTTATTGTCAAAGGCTAGAAAAAGATTCAATGTTAAAATCAAGACTGAATGCCAAATAACGGCTCGCGAAAGTTTTGAAAAGAAATAAATTTTACGATTTTGAATTAAAACCTTCAATATTCATTTCCGACCTTCAACTTGAAATGCCTATTCAGCTGAAATTAAGAAATAACGAAAAAAATGAGAGCTTAATTTGCAGAATTTTGTAATCGAATGACAATCGTTATAAATTTTCCATGGTTCAAGGTATAAGGAGAATTGAGAAAATATTGACTTGAACAGCCGATCAAATTTTAGATATTTGTTTTTATCTTCTTCTTAAAGCATACAACAAAAAAGAGAGTATACTAATTGTTAGTTTTTTTACTCATTTTATAGCAGTCATTGCTTTTAGTACAAATTCAAGTTTTATCTGACTGTTTAATTACTTTAGATAGAACTTGTATTGTCATGCATGTTTTAGATAATGGTAACAGTTGATTTCATCTACGATCATATATGTTTTTGTGAAATAATTATTTTTTCATTTCATAGCCTAGATATACACAGACAGACAAATTTTAGTGGATGTAAACGAACTGCAATATACTGACCGTTATTTTTCACCCGATAGTCAGTATTATAGAACTCAATGATAATCATATCACATTTCTTAATTCTATAAGAACTTTTTGTTTAATTTTTATTATAAAAAAATACAAGTTTAGAACAGTGGCGTTAAAATAAATAAAAAATAATGAGAAGTAGGGATGAGACGCTGGAATAGGTCACTCTTTTCAGCTGCATGATATATGATAAGATCAAGACATTAAGATGCAATATATGACAAGGTTGATTATTGAATTATAAGTATCTGAATCTAATAAGATGTCAAATTATTCGCAAATGAGATTAAAACTGCAGTCGTAAATGCATTAGATATTTGTCAAATCTATCTATTTCTGCATGAATTAACGTAAGCATGATAGAGCTGAAGGTATATCTTTGTCAAAAAAAAATATAATAGGGTGTATATTTTTGTTATTCAAAATATATGACAAGGGCGGGGTAATCTATACCCAGGCGGCCCACCACTACCACGAAAGGTCAAAGTCCTCCCCCTCGAGGGAGAAAAAAATCATTTCAAATCAAAATTCACTTTTTTCAGATTGATAGAGGATATGAATCAGAACCTAAAGACTATATGAGTTCTGCAATTATGGCATGCCTTTGCTGTTGCTGGCCGTTAGGATTGATTGATATGTATGCCGCAAACAGTGTTAGTGTTTTGTTATCAAAACAAATCTTAACAAATTAGACCACGACTTGTATGCTATAGTATCATACAAAACGTTGACAGTGTTATAAAATTGAGAATGGAAATGGGGAATGTGTCAAAGAGACAACAACCCGACCATAGAACAGACAACAGCAGAAGGTCACCAACAGGTCTTCAATGACCATGTCCATATTCCATGATAAAACCACAAACAGATTAATATATCAAGCTATGAGAAAATAAATGAAGATATTTTTGTACACAAAACTATGTTTATCACTATACGTCAACACAATAGGATTCCTTTAGTGTCAGGGTAATTGATAGCTTGCCATATGGTACTTCTATGAATAGTTGCGTGTATGCTTTAATGACAGTAAAGTGACCACTAGAATTTATATTTGGGTACTAATGTGATGATAATGTGAGGTTGCCGTCCAATTTAGGTTTACACAACATAATAGTGTGAAATTTAGTTTGTAACAACGCGACAAGTTCACGCACCAAACATGCCAAATGTATGAAAAAATGCACCAAAGTTAAAAGTACCATTTGTGAATATTTGTTATTCTGATATGAAATATTTTGTTTATCAGTGTAAGATTTACCTATTCACTTGTTTTGCAATGATTTATATGCTAAGGTTTGGATAAATCTCAATGCAGACAAATATTTTCTCCCAATGCTCCTTACAGAATTGACTAAATTTTTGGAATGTAGAATAAGAAACTTTATGAATCAGCCAGAAGAACAAAATGATTCTTTCAAATTGCGTTTTGACTTTTTATAAAAATATCAATAGTGCTTTAATTCCGTTTGTATTTCAAATGTGTTCAATACTAAAGATTCTGGTTTACTTTTTCTTTAAACTTATTAAAAGGTCCTAGGAGTCAAGAATGACTATAAGTTTGCTATTAAGGGCATTTTTAATGTTGATGCTGCAAATAAATGTCAAAAGGGACTGAAAGGAATAGTAAAAACCTTCACTTTTAGGGCTTATCTAGCTTAAAGGTGAACAATGTTTGACGAAAAATGTAACTTACTCAGCAAAGGATATAAATGAAAGCAAAGGAATTTTTGTTAAAAAAACATAATTGATACTTTGAAATGTATTGTCTGTCTTCCGTCATATATCGTGAAATTGCGATCTTATAGTGAGTAATGAAATTGTTGTTAAGTGGAACCATTTTAAAAGCATATTCAAAAACCTTATAAAATTTCTCTTGATGTCGTTTTTTTTTTTGTCTAGATTTTTGAAATCCCCTATTTTGTTTAAATAATGCATATCTACCATTTAATCCTTCATCATAGTTACTATGCTTCTTTTTATCTTACAGGCAAATGATGAGAGAGCACAGGGACATTTCGAAAAAGCCCGACGAAAAATCTTTTGGCTCTAGCCATGATTATTTCCTCATTTATTTTCGGAATAGCTGGTGCTATCGTCGTAATACTTTTATATTCACAGCAACAACATATACAATAGTACGCGCGGTTGATGTGCATACCGTTTTTTAATTATTTTTTTTTAAAGCCATAGTTTAGACATTATCGTTTTAAAAAAACAGAGAAAAAAAAACTTATGAATAATCAACTTTTGATCGGTACTGTTTATCAATGATTATGTTGTGTTTAGTCATATAGAAACAGGCGGATTAAAAATTGTATGTTAATAAATGTTTTGTGTTAGGAAGTAAAAAGGTTTAGGCAGTGGAATAAAACAATCCATTTCCCTTGACTTAGGGAGATATGAAGATGTGTTCACCCTCGAAAAGTCATATTGTGAATTTTCTTGGGAGAACGAATCTTCATATTTCCCTCATGAACGGAAAATAAATGTATAATATTCTACAAGACAATTTTTTTATTAGTATTGCTATACTGAATTTTATCTTACAGTCAAATGAATCTTTGGCACTTGTCCTGATACTTGTCTCAGTTGCTTTTGTAATAGGTGTTGCTATCACATTTATATTGAAATCATTATCATGCATCGTTGTTTCTAAAGAATATTCTTATGTTTCATAGAATATTCATATTTCTGTATTTAGTAAACATAAACTTGTAAGATTATATTCTGTATTTGCGTTTTTCCTTCCCGGCTGGAAATTTGAAAAGCAGCTATGCCAATGCAAACCTCTGCATGAAATATATGTAGTGTTTTTATAAGAAATAAGAAGATGTTGTATGATTGCCAATGAGACAACTCTCAACAAGAGACCAAAAGACACAGAAATTAACAACTAAAGGTATTGGTTTTTCTCATTATTGAAGGCCGTACGGTTGCCTATAATTGCTAATATTCACTACACTTGAACTTTGGTGGATAATTATCTCCTTGTTTTTATATTCATACAATGTTATCAAAAAAAATGTTAATCAATTTGGGTCAGAGTTAACACGAACATAGTTATTTATGCTGTGGACGATGAATGAACAATGTTGCAGATTATGACCTGAACTGCAGATAAATTTTTTATATTTTTTTTTATTGTCTTTTGAAGTAAATGAACTGCCAACTATATGCTATCGGTTTTTCTCATTGTTGAAGGCCGTACGGTTGCCTTTAATTGCTTAAATTCACTTCATTTGAATTCTGGTGGATAGTTTGCTCATTGGCAAACCACATCTCCTTATATGCAACATACTGACTGATATGTTTCATTCGAGGTTCAGTATTACGTCACTCCAATACATTTTTAAGACGAGGACAAATTAACAATCAATACTATATATAGATCTGCAAATTAGGTCGAGTGGAAAGAATGGTGGCAAATAAAAACTGCAACTAACAGATGATTTGTTGGATAAGGGCACAAATTTTGACCTGTTACGGACTATCCTTTGACCCTTAGATAATTGTTGCCAGGTGTTTTAACGTGCAGACGGCATGACACTCACTAAGCACGAGGAATTCAGTGTTAGGTTTCCATCCCGATGCGACTCCCGACATCTACATTCAATGAGAACAACATATCCGTTCACTTATTGTTGAGCTCAAAACAATCAAAACCAATCAGAATGAGAAATGTCAAGGTCATTTTAAAAATAAGGAAATTATTTTTGTTTTCTCACTTGAACATTAACAAACCAATTCAATATAAATTGAATTAAGTTCATTGTGTTACAATGGGTAAGTATTATATTCTTTAAGTATATTCAATAAAAGACTATTCAGTTTTAATGATACCCATTAGTTGAATTGTACTGATAAACAACTTTAAAGATGTTTTTCTTTTTACCTTATTTTTCCTGTTCAAAGTACATCACACAACGCAAAGTTAGTTCATTTATCAATGGTTTAGAGATGTATTTTCAAACGTCATGTCATTCAGTCCCAGGTGGTATCATCCGCTCAGTGGCTTGTGCTGTAACTTGCATATTGAAAGCTAGACATTTAGTAAATGTATCGGGTTATTAACTACGACGCAGCTTTACTGAAACTAATTTTCAATTTCTTTAGGCAAAATGTAGCTATTGACTTGATTGGCTTCTTTTGGCTTGATGAAACCATATAGTTTTTGTACTTTGTTTCTCAAACTTTTGATCTTAATCATAAACTGGATTAAGTTTATTCCAGTATCAAATTATTTCAACAATGTCATTCGCATTGCAAACTTCTGTAACTAATATTAATACTATCTGTTGAATTGTTAGTTTACCCAATTAAACGATTAAAATGGTTAATTTCTATTATAATCTATAGGTTTCATTTTCATAATATTTGAGTTATATTAGGCAAGGTTAACTATAACCGTTTCTGTTTCTCTTTTTGCTTTTTTTTCTGTTTTGATAGTACATCAAACGTTTGAGTGAAATCGCCATTTTGTGATTGATGTTTACATACATACTACTATTTGTAAGAGATATGCGCAGAAAACAACTTGTCGAATACTCAAATGATCTAGATCCAATATTATTTGTTTTGTATTTGAACGGTCTTCAAATAGTAAAAACAATAGTATTGAACATTCTTTTGGTGAGAGGGGAAAGGTTATTTCTATTGGTTTCTATAAATTCAAAATATTAAGAACTATAGTTTAACACATTTTTTTTCAAATAGTTACCCTTAATATATAATGCTGCTAGAAATAGATTACCTTGATTTAGAATGCTGCCGGAAATTATTTAATTTTTATCCTCTGAAAATTCTGTAAATGTCAAAATAAGCTCATAAAACGAGGTCTTCATCTTCACTGTACATACAAAATTAGCTAGGTAGTAACACTTATACATGCTGTCAACAATGTTATGCTCTTATCGGACATTTTATAATGTCTTATGTCCTTAATCCTTTGGAAGTGTACTGAGTTTGGTTTCTATTTTAGTCTATGAGAACATGTTTTATTGACTAGTTAAAATTGGGTTTGAGCTATCTGCAAGTACGTTTAATCAGTATTTTGCGTCTTTTGTCGTCTGTTATCTATTTTTTACCGATCTGACGAGTCAAGCCCTTTCCATCTGATTGTTAGAGTTTTATCTAGGGTATGCTGTTAAAAATTATTCAAAGAAACAAAATTTACACAAAGTGTTGTGAACATCCTCAATGTGTATTCAATGACATGGACGTCACAAGAATTAAGAATGAGGTGAAATTGATTAAAAGATACTTTTTTTTAAATGTACATTTATACTATAAAGAGTTGATTGCACACAACAATTAACAAACAAATAAGGATCAACATCTTCCAAAAAAATAACCAACACCGTCATGTTTGTTTGCATGCATTTATAGTGATATATAACGATATATAACGGTCATTTTTAAGATGAAAAGTAAGATTAACTGGATGATTATAGCAATTTGATCACGAACATTACAGAGATTTACAAGTAAAGTTTTCTTTCAATACGCGAATTGATAATTGGTTAAGTGCATAGAAATGCTTAAACTAAAATGCAGTGCTTATATGAAGATTTTGTCATAAGTCGAAAACCAAACTGACAATGCCATGACAAAATATCAAAAATAACTCAACAAGCTTCAACTTTAATATGTAGCCGCCCTCATGTCCATGTGAAATACAGCAACCATTCATGCACATGAAATGTTTATCAACAATATTCCACGGGAAAAAATGATATTGAGAATGGTAGCATATTAACTGCATTAGATACAATATAGGTATGAAACGGATGGTTCCACGTGCATGTATTGATCTAAGGATCCGTTGTGTAAGTTGCAAGCATTTGTTAATACACTATCTTAGGCAGATAATCTATAAATATAATTTTAAAATTGTGTTGGTATCTATATATAAACTATATATAGACCCATATGCCTTGCAGCGGATTAAAATCATAGTGACTGCATCAAACACTGTGTATGTAACAGACAAGTACTAAGAAGTTCTTTTGAGGATTGGATCTGGTGTAGTGATTTGAAACGCTGTCTTTTCATGCTAGGCGCATGGTCGTCGAAGGATTTATAAAATGGTAGCAAGTTCATTTCTAGAGAGATGACTTAAAAACAAATTATGTGTGTACAGACGATTTGAGGGTGCAAATTACTGTGACATTGTTTGCTTAATCTATTTGGCCTTAATATATATATAAGTCTAAAGATTTGGACAATGGTACTAATATAAGATTATAACTAATAATACAAATTGTATGTGTAAAATAGCTCAATAATACAGGTAAATTTTAGTCTATTGATTTAATCCCAAATCTTGAACATCATAATATAAAACAAAACTCGATACTCAATAGACGTGATTGTATATATATATATACATCCAAAAATGAGTAAAAAATAAAACTGCTAATATTTCTTATTGATGCCGTTTGGATGATGTACATTTAGTTCCTTGTTCAAAAAACTTTCCCGAACCTGTCGCTGGGCATCACCCCAGTGAATGTTCTGTTCAATCACTAAGATTTTCATGCGGTTAAAGTAATCAAGTTTATGACCCGACTGTCAGAAATGCTGACTAACTGGGAGAAGTGGCTTCTTAGAGATATCACTCCTATGGCCATTGAGGCGTTTGTGGAAAGGCTGCTTTGATTCATCAGCATATTGGAGGCCACAAACCGAACATTCTAGAATGTAAATAACATTCATACTTTTGCAGGGCACATTGCAAAATATCTTATAGTTATTTTCGGTTGCCTTACTGTGAAAAGTTGATGAATGGTGCATCTGTAGGCAGCATTTGCAGCGTTTTTCGTCACACGAACGACATTCTCCAGAAGTACTTCTCTCGATCGGACCAGACACTTCAGCCAGCACTAGCAGGTTCCGCAGAAAATTGGCTTGCCCAAAGCTATCATGGGAGGCTCGGGAAAAATCTTGGATAGTTTGGAATTCTTTTCAACTGTTTTTCAATGCTCACGAATGACACCGAAGCTGTTTTTGAGAGATGGTCTGAAATATAGACAGAATGAAAATAATAAGAGCTTTATTTAACAAATGTAGTAATTGTATGACAAGCGTTAAGAAATATATTCTTAATTCAATGCTTAGAGGAATGGTGCAGATATTGACTTGACCTGCAAATATTAGATATATGTTTTATCTTCTTCTAAAAGCATACAACGAACGAGAGAGTATAGTAATATTCAGTTTTCCGGCTCATTTTATAGAATTCTGTGCTTTTTGTGAAAAAATCGTGCAAATCAACTTTTATTCCTTTTTTTGGTTCATGTGCCTATTAAAATTACTTTAGATAGTCCTTGTATTGTCATCACTATTTTAGATAATGGTAACAGTTGATTTGATATACGTCTTTTTATATTATGGTGTTAAAACTTTTTTGTCATTTCATAGCTCAGATATACACTGACAGACAGATTCTAGTGGATGTTAACGAACTGCAGTATACTGACCGTTATTTTTCACCCGAAAGTCAGTATTATAGAACTCAAATTCAAGCAACAAGAGAGGCAATTATAAAAACTTTCTTTTTTAATATATATATAATTATATATATATATATATATATGAAAAAATGGCCAGTTTAGAATTTTTTTAAAATTAACATTTGCATAAATATTAATGAATAAAACCCAATTCAATGAATACTAATTTATATTTAAAAAACTGAACATTTTCATAAACACTTTACAATAGCATTAATATTAATGACAAAACGCAATGATCATTTAATCTGTTATCTGCTAGTGAATAAATCATTTCAAATCACTTTTTTTCAGATTGAGAGAAAATATGAATCAGAACCTAGCAATTTTCTGTGTCTTGCAATATTTGCAGCTTTTTGCTGTTGTTGGCCGATAGGATTATTTGCTATCCGTGCCGCAAGACAGGTAGGTTAATACAAAAATTTATGATAAAAGAGATGATTTTTCATTTCCTATCGTTAATTATCCATTTTTAGATGGTGACGTTCCCTTGTCACCATCTTATGGTGTTTATATATCTCAACTTGTACGATTCGTTCGTGTATGTAACAACATATTAGATTTTAGCGAGAGAAATTTATGTATTACTGAAAAAATATTACACCAGGGTTTTCGATATCATAAACTAGTCAAAACATTTACTAAATTTTATCATCGGTATAAGGACATCATTCGTAAATATGACTCAACATGCAGACATCTTATACGTTCGGGTATTTCACATCCAATCTTTTATGGTAATATTCTTTACAAAGCACAAAAATGTCAGTATTCACCTCAAAAGCTAACAAAACCTTTAAACAGTTATTAAGAAGGGATATAGTTACGATACTGTTGTCAGGTCATTAAAGATTGCATATTTTGGCTTTAATATTGATTCATTTATAGGGTCTTTGCATCGGAATTAAACATATTTATTCTAAAACCAGTTGTTGGCATGACACGGGTTATGTTCTTCTCATATATTTTATGATGGTATAATACTAAACCCCTAACAGGAGGGATTGTGCCTGATATTCATATGATGAAGACATAATCTTTCAATCAGTCTAATTGAGGTCTGGAGCTGGCATTCAGTAACTGCTAGTAGTCTGTTGTTATTTATGTATTATTGTCATTTTGTTTATTTTCTTGTGTTTCCTATTCTGACATCGGACTCGGACTTCTCTTAAACTGAGTTTTACTGTGCGTACTGTTGTACGTTTGTTTTTTCTACATTGGCTAGAGGTATAGGGGGAGGGTTGAGATCTCAAAAAACATGTTTAACCCCGCCGCATTTTTGCGCCTTTCCCAAGTCAGGAGCCTCTGGCCTTTGTTAGTCTTTTTTTCATTTTTAATTTTAGTTTCTTGTGTATAATTTGGAGTTTAGTATGACGTCCATTATCACTGAACTAGTATACATATTTGTTTAGGGGCCAGCTGAAGGACGCCTCCGGGTGCGGGACTTTCTCGCTGCATTGAAGACCCATTGGTGGCCTTCGGCTGTTGTCTGCTCTATGGTCGGGTTGTTGTCTCTTTGACACATTCCCCATTTCCATTCTCAATTTTAATTTGGTCTAAAAATTAATATAAACAAATAGGACTTATGATTGTATACTACAACGTCATACAAAAAGCGTGTTTTGTGATAAACATCATTAAGGCTAAAGAAAGAGATTTTTCACGAGATCATTTAGTACGAAGAGATTGTTGAAACACTTGGAACTTGCATAGTCTCAATGAAATTGACATTTTGCATTATGGAACATGAATGAACAATTACCATCAACTAACTGAACGTATTTTGACCTCTAAAATGTCTTTTCTGGTTTTAATATGTTCTTTGGTTATTTTCTCATTTAAGTTTAACTGAAATTTCTTATTGCATGAGAAATGTATTTTGTGAAAGTTATAAACATCACATTAATTATCATTTGCGAGTTAATCATTGCAAACATATTGACTTCTTATCGAGGCTACATGCTACTGATTAGTCTGATTCGTAGACAAAAGCATTTTTATCTTTTATTTTATGTTTTTAAAATTATCAACCATTAACTAAGTACTTCCATTCTTGAACAGTTTACCATTGTTTCGATTTTTATTTCAATTTTTTTTTTGATTTTTCAATGTAGAACTAAATGTTAACTTATGAAATATTTACAAATAAAGAATTTGATGATAATTTGAGCTATTTTTTTCATGTTTATGTGTAAGAAATTTTAGTGCATTTGGAGAAACCAATTGAAATTTTTACTTGAAACTTTGATTTCGCTTTAAATTAACATTAACTTCCTACTAACATAATATTATGCATTTAGTTGATATATAATTCTGGGTTTCCTAAAACTGTCAAAATCAGCCACACAACCGTGCATTTTTAACTTTATATCGGACTGTTTATGGAAGCGTGTACGTTTCTTCAAGGAGCGAATTCTGAAATAGATTTACTTTTTAAAATATCAATATAAGTTGTATTTTATAAAAAGTAAAATAACAAAAATACCGAGCTCCAACGAAAATTCAAAACGTAAATTCCCTTAAAAAATGGCAAAATCAAAAGCTCAAACACATCAAATGAATGGAAAACAACTGTCATATTCCTGACTTGGTACAGGCATTTCCTTATGTAGAAACATTACAAGTTGGGTTTTCAAAATGGAAATATGCTGTCTCCTGCCAGGACTGATCAAAGTTTCTAAATGTATAATGATTTTTGTAGGCAGATAGTAAGCAAGACAATATTAAGGATACATGCAAATTGTCTTTTGATTTTTTTCACAACATTACCATCTTATCCTATTTCCTCCGTATTTCAGATATATTCAATTTTATGATTTTGTTTCTTATATCAAACTTTTATTGGATCCGTTAAAAGGTTTCGACGTTCAGTGACTGACAGTTTTTTTTCTTAAATAACATTTTTGTCGGTTGATCTTTTGCGTTCAATCAATTATTCCAACAAAAAATAGCCATAAAATGTAAACCTTATGTCTTAAGTACTGAAAGATGAATAGCGTTCAAAGCAAATATCTAATTTACAGTGGGTAATGTAACTGTTGTAAGCGTATATTGTTACCGGTATTAAGAAAAAACATATCATAAAAATAAGTTCTTTTTTGTTTCCTTAAAAATGTAAAGTTCGATAATTCTTGCCTTTCGTTTTTTAAATCTGTATCCTTTCTTCTCTTTGTTTTTTTTTTTTTTTTATAGTTTAATATACATGGGTTTTGAGTGATAATTATCTCATTGGCAATCATACAAAATCACATTATTCTGTATCGCCGATTTTTCTTAAAAAAATAAAATGTATATCTTCAATTTAATCCTTGATCTTAACTGTTATACTACATTTTATCTCACAGGCAAATGCAGCGACAGACCAGGGACATTTCAAAGAAGCTAGAGAGAAGAATCGCACGGCCGTATTACTGATTCTTGCCTCTGTTGTTTTTGGAATAATCGCTGCTACTTTTATTGCAGTTTCATATTCACAGCAATAATATAAAGTATTCCTTAAAAACAGTCCACATTTTCCCTCACAACCAGCACATTGTTTTTCTTTATACAAGTTCCAGCTTTAACATTACATGTATATGTGTTATTACTCATTGCACCTCTTGTTATCTCTCGTCATCTGCTATTAGATTCAATTAACGGACAATGATTGAATGAATCTACTATGCTAGATAATATACAGTTCCTGAATGGTTTGAATGGAAGTTCAAGTCCCCTTGGACTTAGTTCCATCGTCATGTTATTCATATGTTGGTTAAAACAGTAAACCAAATATAGACAATTACAAAATAATTCTTACAACAGATGCATTTCCAAATAACGCATAATTTATTCATTTTTGGTTTATTACATAAGTGTTCTTAACAGTCAGTTGTATAATGTTTCTATGGTTTTCTGAATAAATGACCATTATCAGAAATCTTGTGTTAGATATTTTGCAAATGAACTCGAATCCTCGGAGTCTTTTCCTCTTATTTCATAAGTTAAAAAAGTGGTTAATCACAAACAAAACGGAATCATGAAATGTTTTTAATCATGCGGGTTTTTTTTTTTTTACTTTTTTGGGTTTTTTTTTTTGGTTCCCTATCTGACAATAGGGAAGAATGATAAAGACTTCCAGTGTGCTTGGATTGCTATTTATTTTTTGTTCCCTATCTGACAATAGGGAAGAATGATAAAGACTTCCAGTTTGCTTGGATTGCTATTTAAGGTTCATAAGAACAAATGGACAAAAAATGCTGTTTTTACACATCAAAAATTACTCTGAGTACAGACAAACAGGTGCAATTGGAAACGTTTCAAGGCCAAGCATTCGCTAGACATATAAAAGTTAATGGCATTTTGTGTTTCAGAAAGATAAAATATTTTTTTTACATTTTGATGACCATTGTTTTGTTAAATGCACTAACATTTGGGCTTTCTCTTAACAGAAAAATGAAAGGAAATTTTGACTCAACGTTTCGCTATATAGATGATGTTCTTAAACGGAATATTTCATAGTCTCGTGACTGTGTTGCCTGTATCTAACTCAATGAACTTGAAATAAATGATACCATAAATTCAGTTTATCAGCGCCTACAAATGGTGTATATTTCCCAGTTGTTTTTATATTACAGTGGTTGCGTTATATTATTTCATTGATAGAGGGTAAATGCTCACAATAATGCTGTTGTATCAATGGTTCCAAATGGTAAAGTTGAAGTCATTCCTTCGAAAAATTTTAGGACACCATTATTATTTGTTTTTCACTTAAGGAATGTACCTCACTCATACAATAATCAATCCCTTGTAAAGGGAACCTTTAAAATAATATATGGAAACAACAGAATAGTATTTCGGAGAAAAATTATGTATCGAAAGGAAATCAGTTATGTTGTATTTTCGCCATACAATTAAGTCCGGGCCTAATGTCAGTTAGAATTGTATTCTCACTTTTTAATCATTACACTGTAAATATATATCTCCCCTTTTTTATTAGACAAAAAGTAAATTATAGCAATAACTTTCAATAATATTGTCTGTACAGCTATTTTTAAATGAAAAATAAAAATGAGCAATATGAACGTTAGGCAAACAACAATTAATCTAAATTTGTAGACAATAAATAAAGAACGCTATCCGTGAAAGCGTATCCGTGAAAGCGTATTGCAGGGACATGCCGTGGGGGGAGACGCATGTTTTTGAACTTGACTATCAAAACATTGACAGCTGGAACATATCAAATAAAATATTAAGTATATTTTATCACTAGTTTTTATAGTTAGTTCTACTTTAAAATAGATAGTTATGACGGCTTCCAGTGTAGTTACTTATTTGCATGTTTATATTATTAAATTCTAAGCAAGTTGTCAAAAAATTAAGACAGCCTTAAATTATACGTCATATTTATTTGGACTTCTTGTAAAACATTTTTATTCCTCACTATGTTCTTGTTAATACTTTAACAAATATTTTTTTAAATTATGATTATAAAAGTCAGCGGATATTTTGTAGGCCGGGGTAAATTCAGTAAATAAATAAACGTCACCAGGATCGCCTATTTGGTGGCTAGCCTTCTGGATAACACTGAAGTCCTGTGATCCACTTATTCGTAGATAGTTTTGATAGATCAACACTAGGATTATGAAAATATAAACAAAATAATGCTATATTTCCTTTTATTACTTCAGTGTTAAAGAGTAATACGGGTCAGTGCAGGAATTTAGAGCGAATCTACAGTGTTTGTAAACAACGCCATGTGAATGGCCCAAAAAGCTGAATTACCCTATATTTTGTTTTTGCAACAGATGGGGCTACATTTGTATTTCAATGAATGATATGTGAAAGCTCCTGATCTCTAAAGCTAAACCAGGTAGAAATTAACCTTTGTATATACAAAGGTTCTACAGTCGCATGTGTTGAGCACACTGATTTTGATTGATTATTTGACTGATTGGTGTTAAACGCCACTTTCATCACTATTGCGCTATTTCGTGGTTGTTAGTTTTTATTGGTGGAGGACGCCGAAATGCCCGGAGAGATTCCGAAGGTTTAACAATGACAATGTCTACGTGTACTGAGCAGTTTTGAACATGAACATGATGAAAAAGGTTACCCGTATTTATGGAAGATCAACATGTCTCATGGGGACTTATAACGGTCTTTCGCTACTCGTTTGTTGAAGATTAAAGTTGATCCACAATTGCGGAGATTGGTATTTTTAAAACTTTATCATAAGAGTTTAAAACACGACGACATATTTATTATGACAAAAGTACGATTATGTACATACGTTGCTATTATCGGTTCATAAAATCTAAAACAGGTAAATCAAGAACATTTTAAAAAGAATAAAAGGAATATTGCAATTACTGAAATATACACGGCCAATATACTCATTAGTTTTAGGTCCAACAAGGGTTGTATCACCCTGGTCTTTTGTTTAAAGTAGATCAAAATAGAATGGGACTTTCATCTATTGATATAATTATCCCCGCACCAAGGAAATTGTTAATTCGTGAATTCGTATCAAAGCTGCGCAATGTTGAGAAGTTATATTTGGATAAAAAAAAGATTTACATGCATTCATCCATTGTCTTTTTATTTGTAATAGTTCAGCGACTACGAGAAATAGGATCACGCAACCCAACTTGATGTGCTAAAGTTATCCAGGTATTCTAACAACATCATGTGCTTTTGAGCTATATTAAATCCTTTATAAATATTGGATTAGATAGTTTTCAAAGTCTCAAAAGGATGGACCTTTGTTTGCAAGAGTATTTCAATCCAAAAAAATCCGAATCCTTGTCAAGGGAACTCTATTTCTGAAAAAAAAAAATGTATTTACTCCGAATCTTAACAATTTTTAATGAAAATAAAGAGCATAGACTGTAAAATGTATGCCTTCCTCGAGTATGTGCATAAGATTTATATAATTATGCTATTCCCTTTTTTGAATAAATATCAGTCTTTTGAACCGAACACGGGTCCTGAACGCACACAAGAGTATTCAGAGAAAACATTACCAACTTTCCATTGCAACATTAGAAGCCTTAGAAATAAACTGAACTATATTGTCGATATTATTGAGGATTATCATGTAGTATTTTTCACAGAAACACATTTAGACTCGAATATTACTGATTACGATATGTCTCTTATGGGGTTTGAAATACCATTTCGAAAAGATAGAAATTCACATGGCGGTGGCATTATTATGTATTTTAAAAATTATGTTCACAATACTCCGTCGACAAGATTTAGAGCATGACAAAATTGAGAGCATGTGGTTTGAGTTAAAGACCAAACTTTTTACAGTACATACAATCTTAGTCTCTTTCCTCTTTGAATAGATTAAAACATTTAACATATGTACCCTTTACACAAGTATTCCCCATTCCAAACAAAAAGACAAATTGAAAGAATTGGTCCTGCTTTTTTTTCATGATAAAGGATGGCCAATGTATATACAAATATGATAAGGGAGGGATTACATCGTACTTTGTAAAAAAAAAAAAAAACACAATGATACAAACAATAAAAATTCTATGACATTATCAAGATGCTTGCACTTTTGATTGACAACATATTTGTAACGCTGGGATGATGTTTTTTTAACACAAAATTGGCAATTCCCTGGGAACCAACAGTGCTCATCTTCTTGCAAACTTGATCCTTTATTGATTTACAACATACAGGAGCTTCTAAGAAAGATGAAAAGAAGATAACATTATCCGTTGACTTCACGGTCCGCTGTTTAGATTATGTTCTTTCACTGAATAATTCAAAATGTGATGACTATGTTGAACGCATCTATTCCATTGAACTCGAAATAAAGGATACATCATATACAATTAAGTCTGTCTCATATCTTGACTTACATCTTGAAATTGACAATAAGGGTAGGTTGAGAACGAAACTTTACGACAAAAGAGATGATTTTAACTGCCCCATGCAAACTTTCCATTTCTAGGTAGCAACATTCCAGCAGCGCCTGCATATGGAGTATAATCTCTCAGTTGATATGATATTCCAGAACTTAAATTTACTATAATGATTTTCTTAAAAGAGAGGCGAAATATACCAAATGGACATTCAAACTCATAAGGAATATCCAAACGCATAGAAGGTTGCTGCTTACAAGGAAACTATGAAGCAACTTTTATGTACTGAAGATGATTTCATCCCTTCGTAAATTTGACGCAAGCTATCACAACTTAGATTACCGTTAAGGAATATATATTTCATAGTTCACGAATAAGTCCAATTGTCGTAACCACACTCCCTTCCTCTTTTCTTCGAATGTGACCTACCGAATGAGACTTGTCAATGGTTTGTACCCAATAAGCAACACGACGGGTGTCACTTGTGGAGCAGGATCTGCCTACCTTTCTTGAGCACCTGATATCTCCACCCGTTTTTTTTTTGTGGAGTTCGTGTTGCTCTGTCTTTTGTTTTCGATGTTGTTTTTTGTAGATTGCTGTTTGTCTTTTGGTTGTTTTTAAATGTTTTGCAATGGCATTGTCAGTTCTTTAACGACTCATGGGTTTGAATATCCCTTTAGTATCTTCCTCCTCTCTTTTTATTAGATGGCGCTTAGTCTAAAATACGCACGAAATGCTGATACATATTAACGAGTTCATGCATTAACAAATTATTTTTTTTGGGGGGAGGGGGGGGGGGGGGGGGTCTGCTTGTAATTTGGATATACCTTTTATGACTTTGAGTCAAATCGGTGAACATGAATTTGACAGCTAAAACTTCTTCAACATAGGAAGTTAATGTGTGTTGTTTTTATATAATGTAATTGAACGTTTTCATATAATGTCCGTCATTTCATCGAGACTTTGGCTGACCATTCAGCTAGAATTATTCTTCAAGTAGAGTTTTATAATATATCAAACATAACTCATGTTTTCAATTTTATCTAGGCATCGTCGTCAAGCCTCAATTTACGTTCTTGAAATGATTGTTGATATTTAAAATTTGAAACATTATTTATAACCCTTAAACAGGTAAAACGATAATATGCTGCAGCTAGGACACTTCCTGTTGTCTTTATCTACCAAATAGAGTTACAAAGGAATATTTCGTGCATACAAAATCACTTTTCTTCACAATTTGGGGTTCGTTTAGGGATGATAAATAAATTTTATTTAATGTGTTAAAACTTGCATTACTTTTTGTTACCATTTTTTAGCTGCAGTATAAAAACATTATTAGGTCAATGTCAGAAAATTATTAACTTTTATTTATTCGGCACGAAATAGTAGAAGGGTTCGGTAAACCTAGCCCTTCCACTGTTACTAAGCCTCATACAAAACAGGTGATATTTTTCTGACATTGACCTAATATTGTATATAAACATCCGTGTATCGCTTGTTGAAATACGAAGACCACAGTTCATTTTACAACAAATTTGGACTTTTCATTTTTAAATTCAATCCAGATCTTGAAGTATTATAGTAATTCGTTGTATTCTTAAATTCAACACATTAATACTAGAGCTTACTTGATTATGGTACTATGGGTATGTATATACAAGTATATATAGTATTGATTTCTTCTAGATATATAGCAGTATAATTCCACTTGAAACAAATGTTCTGGCAATTTAGTGTTAAAGATATACAGTGTATCATATATGCATCTTGAAAAATATTCTTTTTTGATCTTTTACTTATACTTAAAGTTTAAGTTCTTCTGTACTGAATTCAAGATAAATTACACAAAACAATATTGAATCGGACACATATTGTTGTTTAACACGTGTTATATTTAGATTTCATTTTACAATAGAAAAATAAACTTGACTAATTATTAAAATGACAAAAAGTGGAATTGATACACCTGAATTTTCAAAACATTTCTCATGATTAGGAAATTATAGAAACGACATGTAGAATGAGAGATATTTGCTCAACTAAATGCTTTCATAATTATAATTATCGTCCTAACAGCTATGCCTGTGGGTTTCCATTTGGTCTGAACTTAACACTTTAGGTAGAAAAGATGGAAATGTACAGAGCGGTGGGCATTTATTCAAATTGTTTAAATAAACAAAGCTATGAAATAACTGTGTTGTTGTTTCCATCAAATTATAGATAAACTGTCGTTAATTGCACTATTGCTAGAAAATTAGAAAATGTAAAACATTTAATACTTTTCAATATGTTCAATGTATGGTCAAACTAATTATGAGATTAGACTCCATTCAAATTGGTTGGTGATTCTCCAAAATATGATAGAAATACAAATCTTGTCCGTTTTAATAGGTTTTACTCATAATTGTGTTTTAAAAGATTTAAAGATTTGAATGTTTACTCCAAAACAAAAACATAAAAAAAATTCAATTATAAAATAAATACAAGTCGATTCCAACACAAAAGAATAATTCGTGTCAATCTGCTGTGAAAGATGAGATTCTTTTTTCTTTTAGAATGTCCCAAAACAAATAATATTAGACGTAACATTTTCTTCAAAATTGAAAATAAATTCCCTAATATTAGCCACCTAGAAAGAAAATATTTTATCTAATAAAACAGTTTTAGCCAATGATATTTTTCTTAGTGGACTTAAAAGTGAGGCAAAAGATACTAAAGGGATATTCAAACTCATAAGTCGAAAATTAAATAACAACGCCATGGTAAAAAACAAAGAAAAAGACCAAAAGACAAACAACAGTATAGGTAATTTATAAAACGATCATAAAAGTTTTCATATTAGATGTAACCAGCCTTCGGTCGATATCAGGCCTCGAGCCTTCAGTTCTTATGCTGATATCATGACATAGGATTGATAATAAATCTGATATGACAACTGTCATGTTATAATTATAGGTTTCATAACGAGTGAGAATTGAATATCGTTAAAGATTGCAAAATATATTCCAAATCTATAATTGGTCGTGTTATTGAAAAACACAATTAACAGCAACGCCAGTCAAATATAGATGATACAAAATTAAAAATTGGTAGCTGGAATTGCAATGGCTGGTTTGTGAGACGCGATCATGATAAAGGGTTCATTTTAAGGGGAAATATGTTAAACATTTAAAACTGTGACATTGTTGGCATATGCGAAAGTCATTTTTAAGAGATAATCAGACAATAAATATGAATGGTTACACTCGGATAGGTACTAATAGGAATGTTATTTCAAATAAGGCTTGGCAAGGTAGCGGGGGCGTAGGATTCCTTATCAAAAACTCAATATTTGAATATTTTGAAATTGACATTCTCGACAAAAGTAAAGATGATATACTTTGGATATATTTAAAATCTGTGAAAGATCCGGACTTAGTCTTATACTTTTGTGTATGCTATTTACAACCTGAAAGATCTAGTATAGGAAAAATTGATCAAGAGAGTTTTACGAGGATTTATTCTCGCAATTGTATCTTTATAACACAGGGAATCCCATTTTCATTTGTGGCGATTTCAAGGGACGGATAGGAGTCTTGCACGATTTTAACGATTCGCTAATTTGCGGAAACGACAAAATGCTGACGAGCAAAAGAATGCGTTTTGTGAAAATTTGCTAGATTTATATGATAATACCGTACAGCGACACTGATAGATACATCAATTTTGAGGTAAAGCTTATCTTGAAAATAATAAACTATTGAGCGAGGAACAAAATGGATTCCGACGTCTCAGATCTTGCCTTGACCACATTTATTCTTTTTGTATTACATTGAGAAACAAAAAATTAATGAACTTCGACACATATTTATGGTTTGTTGACTTTAGCAAAGCATTCGATTCGGTAAACCACGAGGTTGTATCGAACAAATTGTTAGGTGCGGAAATTCATAGTAACATTTTCAAAGTCGTAAAATATCTTTACTCAATTTTGAAAAGTGCTATTAGACTTTCACCAATGATGTTCACAGACTGGTTTTCGGTAGATATTGGTGTACGCCAGGAGACAATCTTGCACATAAGCTATACGCTGTTCGCGTTATTCATTGTCGATATAGTGTCGCTTATAAAAGGTTTTTCGCAAGGAGTATTTGTTGGAGACGACATGATTATTTGTTTATTCTACGCGGATGAAGTCGTTCTCATTTCGGACTCAAGTGAAGGCTTACAGTCTCCACTCAACGTTCTACATGGTTGGACATAAAAATCTTCTTAATGTGAACATTGAAAAAAACAAACCATGCATGTTCGTAATACATCTGTCAGTAGATCATATGTTGTGTTTAGACTCGGACAAAATGAACTAGATAACGTGGGAAAGAACCGTTATTTTTGTCTTACACTATCTGAAAACATTGATTTTAAGGTTTCTGTTAATGAACTGTCAGCGGCAGCTAGCAGATAATTGGTGTCGTTAACATCCAAAGTCTTGCATATGGAAAAAATGGACGTTGATCTATACACAAAGATATATGACAACACTGTCATCCGAGTTGTGTATTATGCGTCTGGAATATGGTGTATCAAGCGCTATGACTCACTGGAGAGACTACAATACAGAGCAATAGGGACATTCTTTGGCATTAACAAATGCGCTCCGATTCCTGCTGTCTTAGATGATATGGGATGGCTTCCTGTATATATTCATACACAGTGTAAGGCGATACGCCTATGGTGTCGCCTCATGGAAAAGCCAGACAAAAGACTTTGTCGTAAAGAGTTCCGTTGGGACGTTGACACCTCTACACGATACAAGAATACCTGGTTTAACAGTATCAAGACAATTTTAAACACTTGTAATCTTACGCATTTGATTAACTACAGTAGCGACAACATTTTTACAAACTACATACACATACAATAGAAACAGTCAAAAGTAAATTTGTAGATGACTTTAAATAAAGGCAACAGTAGTATACCGGTGTTCAAAAGTCATAAATCGATTGAGAAATCCTGGTTACAAACTAAAACCGAGGGAAACACATCAAATATCAACATCAAAGATAGATTGATAACTGAAGTGCGTACAATGCCAAAACTGAGAACGTATAAAACTTAAGTCCGAATTCTCAACGGAACCATATGTAAAAAGACATTTATCAAGGGTGCAACGTTCAGCATTTGTTTTTGCTCTGGAACTTTTCCATTAGAAATTGAACAAGGTCGTTACAGAAACATACCAGTTAATCTACGTAAATTGTGTGATTATCTGAAACTATAGTATATAGTCGCTATTTTCTCTCAATTATTCTGCCTTTCCATGCATTTTCTGTACATGCCTATATAGTAAGATAGTTATTTTTATTCCTGTTCATCCCACATTTGTTCAATCAGATTCTTTGGCAGTTATAAGGATGACAGCTTTATATTCGTTCAAATCATTTGTTTTTAACTTTAATGCTAAATAAGTTTCCCCTTTGAAATTTCAGTAACTTTATGAATATATCACCACTTCAGTATGATATCATTATGTTTACTTTGCAATTATAGCATTGCTTTTATTTGTTTTTTGTTTTTGTTTATAGCTTTCTGAAGCAAAGATTACGTTTATAACGAGTGGGTATTTAAGACGCTATGTTTGCTAAATTTTAACGTGGTTACACAAAACAAAAGAAAAGGATCGGAAATAGAATAATTTGTTAAGGTATGGTCAGTGACGCATATTCCAGTGGACTGTTATCTTTTATAAGATGAACCGTTAAAACCCAGACTTTGTTTGCAACAAATTAGAGAGTTTGATTATACCTACATTTCTTACTCGCATAATATTAATCTTTTTTGTCTAAATGCATGTTGTCTCCAATTTGGAAATAAGACTTCTTCATTTTTTGTTTGTCTTTGCAACTTTGTTTATGAAATCCTTGTATTATTTATCCTATCTAACATTACGGTAACAACTCGTGCATCTCCAATATCATGTTGAAATATACACTGAATTTGTCTATTCACAGCTCAAATGTGCACAGACAGACAGATTTTAGTAGATGGAATTGAACTGCAGCATACGGATCATTATGTTTCACCTGAGGGTCAACCTTATAGAACTCTAACTGAAGCAACAAGGGAGGTAACTATAATTACATTTTGTTTTAATTTATATTTGAAAAAAATTACCAGTTTAGAATTTTTAAAAATTAACAGTTGAATAAATATTTATAAAAAACAATTCAACGGATAGTATTTCAGTAAACTGCTGGTGATATAAATCATTCACTTTTTGACAGAGAATATGAATCCGAACTCTTTTTTAGTATAGGATAATCAATGCCAAAAGGGTCTGAAGGAAATGTATCAAAACCTTCATTTTAGAGCCTATCTAGCTAAAAAGTGAACAATTTTGAAAAAGGAATTTGATTTGTTATGCACAAATATGTAATTTATTCAACCAAGGAACAGTATGCCAGCAACGGAACCTGTCTCATAAACTATATCAATACTTTCAAATGTCACATATTTTCATATACCATCAAAGTAACTTTAAATTTTTTCTTTACATAGTAAAGATAAGTATTACACATATACTGCAAGACAAATTTATTTTGACTGGTATTGCTGAACTTAATTCTATCTTTCAGTCAGGTGAAGGAAGAGCTCAGGGAAATTTTGAAGAAGCCCGAAAGAAAAATCGTTCGGAACTAGTCTTGATATTTGTTTTCATTATAGGTTTTACTATCACATTAGTGCATTTACATTTAAAATATTAACATGTATTGTTGTCACTAAAGAATATTCTTATGTTCACTTTGTCATATTTCTGTAACTGTTAAAATAAAATTTTAAGATTGCATTCTGCATTTACTTTTTGGCTTCACAGCCGGTAAGTTCAAACGCAGCTATTCAAATGCAAACTTTTACATGAAATGTACATCGATTTTTACTCATTTGATAGGAGTGTATTGTAGGACGTCACGACTTCAGCCATTTAATAAGCAGAAAACCATTTGAATGATATAAGGCACAATAAAAAAAAAAAAACATTTGACTAGATTTATGATAGTTTTGGGACAGTTAAGACATAACTATCTAGGAAGCTAGGACAAGACAATTGAAACTTTGAACAGTTGAACATGGTACATGTAGCTTATTTCGTTCATTAATTTATTTATGTAATTTACTTTATTTCAAACAATAACAAATAAGAAAGTCGAGGTTTTCATACAATGAAGAGCAATTTCTAGTCTATCATACAGCAATTAACTTACTCAACAGATCTATTCACGGGCAAAGTCTATTATAAATACGTTAAAAAAGAAAGGTTACGAATGGAGGTTTCATACAAAGTTGTAACAAAATGTCAATCAATTTGAGTCAGAAATAAAACTAACATAGTTATCCATGCTGTGTACGATGATTAAACAATGTATTAATTTTTCTATTTTGTGGTCATTTTAAGATCTATTTTTCAGAAATCAATTCCATTTGGCAATACATAAAGATCTGTCTGTTACTCTCGTTTTGCAAAAAAAGTACTTCGGACGCACGAAATTGTTAGTTTCCTTGTTTTATTGGATACATTTCCCTATATTTGAACAACTTGATTTGAAACAATAACAAATTAGAGACTGGTCACCTGGTATAAAACATAAATGATCCTTCCGCAGGCAAAGTATATAATAAACAAGAAAAGTAAGTTAACTGTAGTTGACCGATGTTCAAATCACATTAACTTATCAAGAAGATACACATCAAGGTAACAAACAAAACATCAGGGAATTGTATGGATTCCAAAAAGAGCAGACCGGGGCAAACACAGGTAAACGTTTCCTGATACGCATGAATTACTCGCCATGCATTACAATCGGGAACAGAATAGGACACAGATCATGCAACCATTGTGGTATCTTAAGATCGAAGATTGCAAAAACAGGTTTCATTAAAAAAATTGGAATGGCTTACGCAGATACAATATCTTGTTTTAATGAAGTGGCAAATCATTCTAAAAAACCTCTGATTTTGATAAAAGAACACTGCAACTTACGTTTAAAAAATACTGAACGTTAAGAAAATGTTTACCAACAGAAAATTGACATTCCTATGGGAAACAACTGAGCCCTTTTGTTTGCCGACTAGTTCCTTTATTGTTATGAGGCAAACGTCCTTTAAGAAATTCTTATGACAAATGAAGATAAGGTAATTCTGCCTCAACGTTCCGCTATAAAGATGATGATCATAAACGTAATAATGCAAAGTCTACATCTGCCTCCGAAAGGCTTCGGACGCCATCATGATTTTCTTGACCGTGATGGAACATCTGTGTCACAGATTGCAACGGATATGTTCCACTTGTGGTAACGACAATCTCGTCTTCTTTTCCTCGATTGCTCAATCATTAGTTTTCTGTGGTGGTTTGTTTGGAGTTGATGTTCGTGTCGGCTTTTGGTTGTCAGTTTTGATATCTGTCTTATTTTATGGCACTTCAGTATCTTTCTCGCTTTTAAAAGTGTAAAAAGTATAACTTCGATATATTTAAACAGGAGTTTTTATTGTTTAGAATGACAAAAGGACAAGACGATTCAGTACGGTACATCCATTCTTTTTCACATTTTATGTATACCTATGATAGCTTGCAACTTGACCTATTGTTTTGAGAATATTTAAGACCAGTAACTATGAAAGTCTTGTTAAATTAATGATTTGTTTGGTTGATGTCTTCAATATATTTACCCCACACACCTCTCTTTATCCAAATATACCTAGTACAACTATGCAATAAAATTGAGAATGAAAATGGGGAATGTGTCAAAGATACAACAACCTGACCATAGAACAATGTTTTGAAAGTTTGTAGTCTCACATAAGAAGTTAATTGGTACTGGGTATTCGTACTGACATGAATGAATTTAAAATAAAATATTTGCGCGGTTAAACTTCACTGAGACTGCAATCGAACACCAACATCAATTTGCTGGTGATATAGTGAACGTAAACAGAAGCTTTAACATTGACCCATCTATACTACTAAAGGAAGAGACCGATTTCATTGAGCCGCAACTCCTCTGAAACCATACAAAGTCGGAAATATTTGTGATATGACGAATAAATGTAGTTTTTTGTACTTCCAAAATTTGTCTTTGAAACAATCTTTTTTCCACAGAAAACGCCAATTTTTGTGAAAATATCCAAATTCGGTGACCGTTATCGATCCGTGTCTTATACGCTTTCGCGCATGCTCAGTCGACGTAATGCCCGACAACTCGGACTACGGTCAATTCGCACCACTCAAACTCTTTCACTAATTATTACAACTTGCATCACTTTATCAAACTCGCACCACTCAGAAAAATGAAATATAACAAACTCGAAGAAATGTGTTTAATCATTAGATTGTTTTCTTCTTCTCTTAGTAAATTCCTCCTTTCTCGGAGCACCCGTGTCACACAGAGACAGAACTCGCACCACTCGAAAAAATGTTTTAAATTATCAGAGAGTTCTAGATTGTTTTCTTCTTCTCTGAGTTATTTCCTTCGTTCTTGGAGCACCTGGGTAACACCGAGACAGAAGCTACTATTTAGACATTCAAACTCCTATGGAAGAAGAACTGACAAACTAATAAAACTATCAACATAATGCATCAGTGCATAAAAACAGTGTGAGAAACACGAACCCAATCTGTGTTACCATAAACATTTCAAGTAGTCATAAGTCGAATACAAACTGACAATGCCTTGGCAAAAAGCGAAAAACTACAAAAGACAAATAACATTATACAAAACTCAACAAATAAAACTAAAGACTGATCAACACGAACCCACCAAAAACCGAGGGGGATATCAGGTGCTCCAAAATGGTAGGAAGTTCCTGTTATATACGTAAATATGTGAAAGAGTGCATAGCCACTTTTATGCAATCAAATGTATTATAATAGCAAAAGAAAAAACTACAAGCAATTTTATAAAACTTTTTTTTATATTCAGTAGTTTTACAGTATTTATAAGGTCTTTGTTATTTGGTTGTAAATGTAAATTTAAGATTAACGAAATGACCACAAATGTCATCTCATTCGTAGACGGCAGACAACAGTTTATACAATGTGACACAATGATTTCAGTTTAACAGTACAATGATCATTGTGCCACCTATATCCATTTGATGTCCTGTCGTTCACGTATATTTCGTTACCGCGTGTCTCTGGCTATTCTACTGTAATGCAATATTCCAATTAAAAAATGCCATTGTTGTTCAATCGGTATTTCTTTAAACAATTACTGTTTCTAAATTCGCATCTGATGCAGTAAAGTTGATACAGGAAATTACGAAATAAAAAATAAGAATGTTATTCTATTGAAATTTGTTGTTAAAATCTCTGAAAACTTATTTTAACTTGAAAAATGGATCTCACTCATGCTTAAATCTAATTCCCTGTTGAAGGGAACAATTAAAATAATACAAAGATAGAACAGAATATTATTCTGCGGGAAAATTATGTATAGAAAGAAAACGAAATATTGTTTTCTTTTTCTTTCTTTTTTAGTGTCTCCTGACTCATATATGTTCCTCAACTATGTAAACATGTATATTGTATTTTCGGCATACAATTATTTACTGACCTAATGTCAGTTAGAATTGTTTTCTCACTTCTTAATCATTATACCGAAAATACATATTTTCCCCGTTGCATTTTACACAAGATTAATTATAGCACTCGGATTCATACTAAAAAATCTCTGAAACTGACATTATGAATATGCTTGATTTCTTGATTGTCAACATATTTGCTAATTACGTTTGGAGGACGTGTTTTTTAACAAATAACTAACAGTGCTCTCTTCTTGCCTACTTGATCCTTTATTAATATAAGGCAGACTTTATACAGGAGCTTCTAAGGAACAATGAAAAGAAGCAACCATTATCCTCTGACTTCACATTCCGCCATATAAATGATGTCCTCTCACTGAATAGTTCAAAGTTTGATGACTATGTTGAACACATCACATCAAACTTTAAAGAAAGGATACAATACATACAGTTAAGACTGCCTCATATCTTGACTTACATTTTGAAATTGACAATAAGGGTCGGTTGAGAAAAAAACTTTACGACAAAGGAAAAAGAGATAATTTCTGATTTTCAATTGTGACATTTCCATTTCTATGTAGTAACAACTCAGCAGTGCCTGCATCTGGAGTATAAGCTCCTAGTTGATACGATATCCAAAAGATTGAAATTAATGATTTCCTTAATAGAAAGTTGCTGCTTACAAGGAAGCTATGCAACCAGCTAACCGATGAGGCGGTGCTGAAGTTGAAGTCATCTTTTCGTTAACTACACATGATAACCATTAAGGAATATCTGTTTCACAGATGACAACGGATATGATCCAATTGTCGTAACTACAATCCCTTCCTCTATTTTCGAGTGAGGCCTACCGAATTATACTTATCTCTGAATTTGTAATTACACGAGCAACACGACGGGTGCCACATGTGGAACAGGATCTGCTTATCCTTATTGAGCACCTGAGCTCACCCCCTGGAGTTTGTGTTGCTCAGTCTTTAGTTTTCTATATTGTGTGTTTTGTACACTGCTGTTTTTCTTTTGGTCGTTTTTCATTTTTTTTGCCATGGGATTGTCAGTTCGTTTTCGATTTTCGAGTTTGACTACCCTTTTAGTTTTTTCCGCTTCTTCATAATTATATGGCGTCTAGTCTTCAATACACATAAAAATGCTGATACATTTTAACGAATTCATGCATTAATAATTGTTTTTTTTTAACTGCTTGTAATTTGGATATACGTGTAAGTGTGTTATAAATCAAATATGATCAGAATTTGAGTCAGATCGGTGAAAATGTCCTTTTACATAGAAGTTAAAGTTTTTTGTTGATATAATGTACGCGACGTTTTTTTATGTAATGCAAATTAAATTAGAATTATTCTCAAACTAGCATGTTTATCGAGGCATTGTCGTGAAACCTCAATTTAAGTTCTTAAAATGATTGTTGATATTAAAAGATATGAAACGTTTTCTATTACCCGTAAAACAGTTAAAAAGATTTTAAACATTCGAGGATCGTTTGTTCAAATACGAAGACCATAATTCATTTTGCCACACATTTGGGTTTTTCTTTTTTTAAAACTAATCCAGTTCTTAAAGTATTATAGTATTTCATTATATTATCAAATTTTGCACATTAATAGTAGAGCTTACTTGATCGTGGTGCTATGGGTATGTATTTACTAGTGTTTATATTTTATTTCTTTTAGATATAGAGTAGTATAATCCTACTTGAAATAAATGTGCTGGCAATTTCATATTACAGATATTTCATCCATGCATCTTAAAAAATATTTTATTTTGATCTTTTTCTTGTAAATAAAGATTGTTTTATTGAAGTTTGTCTGAGAAAAGATAAATGAAACAAAGGAATACTGATCCAGACAAATATTGTGTTATTATGTGTTATATTTCGTTTGGACGTTATCATAGAACGGCATACTTTACTACATATTATAATGAACAAAAGTGGAGTTGATCTGTATACCTCAATTTGAGAAAACTACACTTCCTACAATCCTTTCATAATAATGAAATCATAGATTGGACATGTATTTTAAGATAAATTTGCTCATTTAAATGCTGTCAGATCATAATGACCGTCTTTGAAGTTATAATTATGTGTTCCCATTTTGCCTTACCGCATTTTCTAGGAAAATAAAACAAAAGATTGAAAATGAGAATTATACTTATCCGAAATGGGAATATTTTCAAAATGTTAAATAAACATATCTATGAAATGATTGTGTTGTTTTTGTTAAATTATAAATAAACTGTTTTAACTGACACAATTGTTAGAAATATAGGAAAATATAAAAAAATTAGTACTTTTGAATATGTTCAATGTATTGCTACATTAACTAAGTGTTTTGACTCCTTTCCAATAGGATAGTGATCCTGCAAAATATGATAGAAATGCAAATATAAGTTATTTTTTTCATTCGCTTGATGTGTTTGAGCTTTAGATTTTGCCATTTGATAAAGGACTTTCCGTTTTTGAATTTTCCTTGGTTTTCGGTATATTTGTTATTTAGCTTTTTAATAAGTTTTACTAAAAACTACGTTTTAAACATTTAGATTTTTTTACTCCAAAATGATATTAGAAAAGTCTAAAACATAACAATAAAACCAGCCGATCACTCAAAAAATTATTTGTGAAAATCAACTGCGAAGGATGAGATTAATTTTCTTTTATAAAAGATCCAGAACTAATTATATCACAGGTGACATTTTGATAAAAATTGAAAACAGGTTTCCAAAATAAAAGACAGAAATTTATATTTAGTATAATATTTTGATAAAACGATTTTTTTTTCTAACTGGAGGTATAATTATTATACAAAGATCTTAACAAGACAGTTTCCATATCAGATGTAACCAGCCTTCGGTCGACTTCAGGCCTCGAGCCTTCAGCTCTTATGCTGATATCATGATATATGATTAATAATACATCTGATATGACAACTGTCATGAAATGATTATAGGTTTCATAACGAGTGATAATGGGATATCGTTTGATATCAACTCGAGATATTCAATTTCATTCTGATAAAAAACAAGACTTTAACAGTTAATTATCATTACTTAAGTTAATTATAAAAAGAGTCGTTAACAAGCGATATCAAATTCTCACAAGTGGTTAAACCACCATAGTAAAAATTATTTTGACTAAAGAGTAAAATTCTCTCAAGGTAAAAAGGAAAATCATCATTGACCTATAGCCAATCAAATATTACATGTTTCGTAACACATTGCAAGACAGGCCAACAAAAATTAAGGCATTTTATCACTTATTCGTGTGTAAAACATGTAATATATTTTCTTTGTGAACAATTAATGACTGGCCACAACTGTAAAATAATCTGATATTAGCATAAAATAAAATCGAAATCGAAAGAGCTAAGTTGTCGTAAATTCACTAGTTCATTTATCTCAGGTAACCACAAGTCTGATTCGAGTTTCTCTTTGATGCATACTCAAGTGGCACGTAACTTTCTTCTCAATTGTTAATCAATGAACAGGGTCAATGTTATTTGAAGTCACAGTGCTACATCGACACTCTGTCGTCAGTGCAAATTTCCCGATAGATGCTTTTATTAATAGGAATTTAATGTCTTCATGAGATATGTATCTGAATAATTATTAGTTATTAGAATATATATAAATCTGTTATAATATTGCCATAACACAAATTTTGATTTTAATTGTGTATGATTTTCATGTTTTTAACATTTTGGTGATGATATATATAACTGTATATAATAAATATTATGTCATCATAATTGATTTGGTTTCATTTATTTAGGCGTCAATGAGCACATTTTAATTCTTCAATTGGAATTACTTCGGCGTTAGATGAAAATGTATTTTTAATTAAGCGTGGAGCTGCACTCAAATCTGATACCAGCATTGTTTGTTCAATAAAACGGCACATACAATGATACAATTGCTGATATAATGATATGGCAATTAATTGATAAAGCATAGGTACATTAAACATGTATATACAGAAATGCTGCAAAATAGAGATTTATTAATGCATTTTTCGAGACATTGATTAATTACATGGAATTAAGTCAAATATATTCCTCAAATGAAAAGAAATACTATGTGTTTTGTGTTTTGTTTTTTTTTTTTTGGGGGGGGGGGGGGGGGGGATGAAGGTTTGCAGGCGTCCTTTCAAATATCCCATATGCAATGTTCACCTATCTTTTGTAGTCATGTCCTTGATAACAGAAGGGATCTCCTTTTACAATAACATATTTTGGGACAACCTACTGGTTTTTTTTAATCAGAAACTAAATTTTTTATTTGTTATTTTGTCCCTATTAACCCCACATTGTATGTATACAATCAAATTTTTTGGCAGTTATAAGGATGAAAGATGAAAGATTTAGTCGTTTTAAAAATTTATTGTTTTTACCTTTAATAAAAAATTAGTTTTCCTTTGAAATTTCATTAAATCAGTAAATAAATCACCACATCTATATGATATCATTCTGTTTACTTTGAAATTATAACATAGGTTTTATTTGTTTTTTTATTTGTTTATAATTTTCTGAAGCAAAGATTGCATTTATAACGTGAGGGTTATTTAAGGCGTTAGGTAGACTCAACTTTGATGTGGTTACATGAACCAAAAGAAAAGGGGGCGAAAGTAAAATAAATGCCAGGGTATGGTCATTGACGTATCTAGATCTTCTGGTGGACTGCTACTTTTGATAATAAAATGAACCGTCAAAATCCTGACTTTGCTTGAACGAATGAGAAAGTGTGATTAACCTACATTTCTTACGCGCATATTTTTTTTCGGTTCTATTCATGTAGTCTCCAATTTCGAAATTTGACAAAAATTATATTTTGTTGGGTTTTTTATTCTGCAACTATTCTAATAACTTTATGAAGTCCTTGTATTGTCAATCATCTTTTTCATTACGGTAACAATTCGTTTCATCTCCATTAGCATGTTGAAATATACACTATATTTGTCTTTTAACAACTCAAATTGTACAGACAGGCAGATGCTAGTAGATGGAGATCAGCTGCAGCATACGGACCATTATAGTTCACATGAGAGTCAGTATTATAGAACTAAAATTCAAGCAACAAAGAAGGTAATTATAAAAAGATTCTATTTGAATTATATTTGAAAAGATAACCTGTTTAAAATTTAAAGAATTAACAGTTTAAAATTTAAAAGAATTACCAGTTTCATAAATATAGATTTACAATTCAATGAATAATATAACAGTAAACTGATGTTGATATAAATCATTTAAAATCAAACATTCAATTTTTCAGATTGCAAGAGAATATGAATCTGAACCTGGTGAATATATGTGTCTTGCAATTCTGACCTGCTTTTGTTGCTTGCCGCTAGGAATATGTGCTGTCTTTGCCACAATAAAGGTAGGTGTTTTGTTAATATAATAAATCTTAAAATATAGACCACGTGTTCTATTGTATAATATCCTATAAAACGTAGACAGTGTTATGTCGGTCTTCCTTGACAAAACAACAAAAATATAAACGTATTAAGCTATGAGAAAATAAATGGTGATGCACTTTTATGATACCATTAAGTATAAAGACAAGGTCAAAACAATAGGAATTCGTCTAGTCTCAAATCAATTGATAGCTTGTCATATGGTAGATTTGCTTGTATCCATTAGCGTTGTAGTTTGACCTCTAGAATGTCTATCTTTGGTGTTAATATGTTGTTTGGTTGCAGTCTCATTTACGTATACACAACATCATGAGAAATTCATCTGTGAGAAAATGTTACTAGTGATTGTCCCAACACGACAAGTAACATGCGCAAGATATATTAACACATGCACCAAAATGTAATTATCGTTAGCAATTTGTCCTTTACTTCTGATATGGAAAAAGTATTTACAAAACAACGAACTCCGAGGTTGATTCAAAAGGGGAAGTCCAAAAAACCTGATAAAATCAACCGCTCGACTAAATCAACCAACGGAACGAATGGACAACAACTATCATTTTCCCGAATAGTCTGTTTATTAGTAAAAAAATTACAAATTTACTTGTTTTTTGGATGATTTCGCCATTAGAGGCTCAGAAAACTACTTTCTCGCAGCTCGACAACTTACAAATAATAGTTACCTTTTAGTTTGTGATCATTTATTTGTCTGATAAGGAATTTTCTGTTATTAGTATAGGATATTTCCATATACAAATCAGCAATCAATCAATCATAATTTGGACTTATTAACTATCAATGATTCATATCCAGTTACTTGGTCGTTGGCCTGTTGGACACAATTCTCATGTTATTCGTAGACAGATTATATTTTTTTCAAGTATTAGACATTCACTCAGCAGTTATATTATAAGCTACTTAGCCGTTGTTTCAATATATTTTTATATGTTAATACTCTTTTTATGTAGTATTTAATGATTCATTATAACTGTTTAAGATTTTTGGCTATACCGTTATGTGTATGCAAGTTTATAAACATCTTTAATAAGGGGACCAATACAAAATTGTATGTTTTTTAACAAAGATTTTGTTTGTAAAATGACTTATTATAGCTACTTCCATAAAATAATGCATTCGATCGATAACGAATATTCTCGGTTACATAAAAATGTCAATAGTGAGGCAGGATCTGTTTACCCTTCTGGAGCACTTGAGTTTAACCCCCAATTTTTGTGGGGGTTCGTGTTTCTCGGTCTTTAGTTTTTTATGATGTGTTTTGTTTGCTGTTGTTTGTATTTTGGTCGTTTTTCGTATTTTGCCATGACACTGTCAGTTTGTTTTTGACTTGTGAGTTTGAATATTCCTTTGGTATCTTTCGCCTCTCTCTTTTAGCCACACTGGCCTGCACGTAGGACCAACTATGACAGTAAAAGTACCCCTCAAAATGTCTATTATTAGGCTTAAAGTTAATTTCATGTATTATCTTATAAACATTATAAGCTGGAACTGAAAAAGGAATGTTCTCGTTCCTACAAAAAAACGACTACATTTTCTAAATGTATGATGAAAAAGTTTGCGCAGACTATTCACCCGAAAATTATAAGGATTCATGCAAATAAAATTTTGACTTCATACAGCAACATCAAATATGCTCTTATTCATTTTGTATTTTAGATTTTTTTTTATAATAAAGATTTTTTTAAACTTTTTTTACTACTAAGATATCCTATAGAGTATTTTGACGAACAGTAACTGCAAATTTGCTTTGAAGGACATTTTTGCAGGTAATATTTTTCTACAAAATCAATACCAAAATGATCTTAAAGAAATGTAAAAACCTTCATTTTTGTGGGCCTATCTAGCAAAAATGTGAACAATTTTGACGAAGGACTTTGATTTGTTTTCACACTTTATACTTTTGTTTTATCAATCATGTACTTTACTCAGCCATGAGACAGTATGCCAACAACGTAACCTTTGTCATAGCCTATATCAATACTTCAAATTGTCTCATCTTCTCATAAACCGTCCAAGTTTGGATATTCAGTGGATAATGAAAGGAGTTTGGCCACGAAGGCCTTAAATTGGTTCTAAAAATCAACTATGTTATACCATATGTAAAAACCTATAGTCACAATCTTAAATATGCAAATTAAGATAATCTAAACCCTGTTGTTGCCTTTTGTTCGTATTAACAAAATGGACAACTCAAAAGGATGATAATTCACCAGATTTTAGCCAAATTGCCTGTTTTAATACAGTTGTAAGATCTATTTCTTCATAAAACAAAATTGGGCACCCCCATCGACCAAAATCAAATTGTTATGAAAAGATGTATATCGTTCAGATATACCTTCTTACAAAACATTATGGTGGTCCTTGCATGTGGCCAATTTCGATGGAAGCAAAAACTATTAAAATTTAGGTAAACACTAGTCAAAACTATCATTTACTTCCTTAGTGTGCACAATAATGACGTCATAATTACATCACAATAGTTCCTATGCGTTTGTACTGTAGTGTGGATAAATTTATTAGTATATTTAACCTTATCATGAGATTAAATTTGAATTTATCAATAAATGTTTCAGGTTTGACTTTTTTTTTTCTTCTATGCAACATCTTTTTTTATATATGTATCTTGTTTGATAGATTTGTGCAATTGTGCTTTTGCTCACATAATTCATATATTCCATTTATTCCTTCGTCTGAATTATTATGATACATTTTATCTTATAGGCAAATGATGATCGAGCACAGGGACATTTCGAAGAAGCTAGAAAGAAAAATAGTCTGGCCCTAGTCATGATGATTGCCTCAGCTGTATTCGGAATAGCTGCCACTATCGTTTTCACTTTCGTTGTAGTAATCATATGCGACATTAATTTGTGTCAGTAAATCATGCTAAATTTGACTTTTAAATGTTTCTTTACACAGATAAGATATGCGTTACATTATGATCTGCAAGACAAATTTATATTGGTTAGTATTGTTACATTAAACATTATCTTACAATCAGATAAAGTAAGAGCTCTGGGAAAACATTCATTGCTGTCACATAAGATTATTCGAATTTTTACTTATCATATCTCTGTACCCGGTAAAACTAAAACTGTAACATTACATTATGCATATGCGTTTTGCTTCAACAGTCAGATATTGCTGATCTCACGTCACTCAATAATCCAAATTTTAGTGAGTACTTGTATCTCATATACTAGTAGCCCAGAAAACTTGAGATTGAGGATATTACAAAAATTGAAGGTTTGTCTCATACCTTGGTCTTTTCTTTAATATGGGCACAGAATGACGACTTCAAACATGCATCTATGACAAATGTGATGACTTCAACTTTACAACTTTCCATTTCTTAGCAGTAGCATATATTATCCCCATTGTATGACGTTTATCAATTGATGCGCTATGCTCGTTCATGTCGCACTATTCGGATTTCATTTACAGGAGTGTGCTCCTTACAAACAAAACTGGTCAAGAAAAAATAAGAGAAAGAATAACTTAAATATACATAGCATCCAGAATTGGTAGACCTATACGATGTGACTGTTTCTCAGCTCACTTGCAACATGTTTCGCCGTCTTGGATCTTGAGATACCAGCATTGGCCTGATCTGAAAATTTATCGATTCTGTTATGTTTCTGATTATTACATTTTGACGAGTGTGGATTTACATTGCAGGTGATGCATGTATACACGTATCAGGAAAAATCTAACCTCTGTCAATCTACCCGGTTTCGTTCCTCTTGAAGTTCAAACGATTCCCTATATTTTAGTTTACCTTGATTTTAACTGGTTTATTCATTTATCACATTTGAACACCTGTAAACTACTATTGATTCCCTACACGCCAATGGCACCAAGCGAAGTAAGTAAGCAGGTAAACTTTTTTCGCCCCTTAATTTCTCTGAAACTATCAAGTGGAAATCCATATTAAAAATCAGCTTAAATAAAAAATATCAATCATTACAAAAATTGACAATATCTCTGTATAAACAGATTATTCAAAGTGTTTTCCATTCTGATGTTTATGCGGAATCATTTTAATTTCATTGAGTTTTTCTCTCAACATTATGAGATCAGTTACTTGGCCTCTTTAATTTGTTATGCTCTCCGTAAAACAAACTTGTTCCTGGGGTTAGGCTATAGTTGTCGTTTGTGATTTACAATTATCATTTTCCTGATACGTGTATACATGCATCACCCGCTATGTAAATCCACACTTCCTCAAAGATATTTGAGTTTTTTACTGCTTTATAATTATATGTATATTATGATAATATATGCATGGGTGACGCGACATCCAGCAAAACATCCAGAAAAACATACAGCTTACAGCTTGAGGCGATAGCAATCGTCTTAAACTATCAGTGAACTGTTAGCTTTTGTTCGGTGTTGAAGAACTCACTACGACGTTCCGAATGCTTTAGTGAATTAGTGAATTGATATAAAACGTAGCAGATTATCCAAGAACTTAAGATTAGAAGGCTATTGATGTTTGCTAGGGGTTGTCTTAACTTTCAATTAGTTGTGAGGATTTGCTCCCGATTTGAAAGTTTCTGTGACTTTGGGATGAAGGACACCAATAAAAACATGTATTCCTTTGCTTTGGGTTTTGTCAATAAAGGTAACAATTTTGTTATATTCTTCATTTACGAAACATTAATTAAGAGTTTGTCTCTTTTACTGTATGGAGACAGCAGACAGTTTTCCTGTTTTGAGGTGTATGCCCTCATATTTTTACAGAAATTGCGTATTTATTCTTTCGTATTTTAGATGCGCATCTTGTGCAGTAAAATTGGTACCGGTTATGTTATTACAATTACATTGTGAACAAAGAATTCCGTGGATATGTCATAAAAAGTAAAGTAACAAAAATTTCGAACTCCAAGGAAAATTCAAAACGGAAAGTCCCTTAACAAATGGCAAAATCAAAAGCTCAAACACATCAAACGAATGGAAAACAACTGTCATATTCCTGACTTGGAACAAGCATTTCATTATGTAGAAAATGGAGAATTAAACCTGGTTTTATAGCTGGCTAAACCTCTCACTTGTATGACAGTTGCATAACATTCCATTATATTGACAACAATGTGAAAGCAAAACAAACAGACATAATATGTAAAAATGTCAAAATTGGGGTAAAGCACCATGTCCAGCAGTTAACATTGTGTTATAATTTTAATCATTATAAAAACAAACTCCTATGTCAACAAAGAAAAACAAAATGGCATGGTACAGTAGACACTATATAGACAAAGCACATAAGCAAAAATAAAAGACAGGAATACAAAAATGACCATAGCACAATAACACAATGGCGGGATGTATAAATACCGATCCACGCCAAAAGGATATTACCAATAAATGGACTCAATAGTAAATAATTATACAAAGACAAATAAAAAGAACACTATAACACGTAATTAAAATGATAAACAACGTCAGTACCTAAAACCGATACTTCAAGATAAGGGATTTCTCTCAGACTTTGTCCTTTATGTGTGCGCTTTTCGTCTTGTTGAAAGCCTCTCTGTGACTTTGAGCTGAACACGGCAAAATGAAAAATATTTCTAAGAATAAAGCCATTCGGGCTCAAGGTCTAGTGGAACTCTGTTTTCAAGGTGCCAATGTATTACGATATTGAAAAAATTTCAATCAAAGTCCTATTATCCCTACAAGAATTGTCAAATACAAACGACACGACGGTATAGTATGGTCAACTAAACATGATGACAAATATGAAATCTTTCTGGCAAACGGTTCCAGGGGAGTTCCGTCCATAAAACTGAATTGTGTTAAAATGTATTAATATAATTTGTTTTTAAAAAAGTCCAATAACCCTCAAAAAAATTATCATATCAAAATTGAAATATTATAAGTGTTGTTCCTTTTAAATATATTTAAATTTACTTTGTTATTTGTCAAGTAGGAGAAGGATTTTATATCATAGGTCTATACACCATATATATCCTTTCTTTACCGCTAGTCTAACTATGGCCAACATATTGCCTTTTTAAATAAATACATATGTATCAAACACTAAAAAGTAGTGTAAAACTGTAAATATTTTTCATAAACAGATCAAACATTCTTGTGTATTTAACAAAGGAAATGTATTTGCAAACTTCTTTTTGAAGGGCGTCAAATTACGCCACTTTGGTCGTCGTAAGGTAAAAAGGTAAAAATGTAAAAATGTAGTGGAAAATACATAAAAAAATAAATGCATTTGCAAAAGCATTCAGACTATTATTCAACGTCAAAGTGAGTTCCTCAACAATGAACAAAATCTAACAATTCACTCGTAGTTTAAGACGTCCGCTAGCACCTCAAGCTGGATTTTATGCTATAAATCGCTTCATCTGTGCATATATTATTATACAAATATAATTATAAACAGTTAAACTCAAATATCTTTGACAAGTATAATGAATACATTGATGAAAGTATAGTGGTCATACTAACATGACAGGTAGGCTATATTGCCATATAAATTAAGTTTGCCGTCAAAAACAGGTACACACAAATGTAAGAGTCTATGAAAAGGTATTTATTAGTAATGTTTCACTTGTAGCTGTGCGCATGTTTATTTTTATCAATAAAACTAATTAAATTGATTTGTATTGTTTTTTTTTACCTTTTGATATTCCACTTATCAAGATGAAATAAGGAAAATGGCCAGGTTCAAATAAAGATATTCTGACCATCTCATGTATAATATAAAAAAAATGTATTAACAAAAATACCAAACTCCAAGGTAAATTCAAAAAGTGAGAAGTTCTTAAAAACTGACAAAGTAAAAGGTAAGACTATATCAACCAACTGAACGAATGGTTTTATAGCTATCTAAGCCTCCAAATTGTATGACAGTTGTTTATAGTTCCGTTATGTAACAAAATAACACTTTATAAAATGCCAGTCGCAACTCAAAAACATTACCATATTTCAGTCAGTGGTTTTTGATGCATTTTAAGATAATTGAGAGACAATGTTAAATATATTCACATCTTGTCAAGACTCGGAACGACTTGTACATGTAGATTGACATATTGTATGAAAATTGTCTATCGTTGAAGACCCTTTATTATAAATGTCTAGTTTCTATCCATTGTTTTGTGCGTTTGATATTGCCTTGATATAAATCTGACACCTCTTCTCATAAAACAAAATCAAAATCAGGTATTATACCTCTACACCAATGTTTTGAATAATGTATTGTCTCATAAAGGGGACAACGTGGCACTAAGCATCTACTAACCTAAAAACATAAAGTATATGCACAGGTATACGTCACTGAGACTGCAACAAAAAACCGAAGTATACACATGAACATATATGATAGTAATCGTAATCAAGTAAACATAATTTATAATATCATTTCATCGAATTAATGGTCGAAGGTAACCACAAATGTCGGTGGAGTGAATATCCTTTGTAGGAACTATCAGGACCAATCGCATTTACTTTCAAATCGGTTGTAAAGAATATAAAATCCAATTTCCAACATGCCTTTACAGGTGTATATTATCACTTATGAAGTACATACAACATTTCAATGGTATTCTCCTATTAAAAAGTTTACTATAGAAAAAGTGAATATTTGTAATTGTCGTCGGTCCTATTGGTGTGTTTTCTATCAATAAAAATTCGAGAAGCGTTTATGTACAGTTTATCATAGTCTGATATGTATTCATTTGGTTAACAGTTTATATATATTTCGAATACATTCACAAGTTTTAAAAATTAAATAAAGGGAATTTACTTAAAAAAACATATATTTTCAGTAATTTTACATTTTTATTTCAGTCTTTGTTATTTCAAAAATTTAAATACAAGATAAAACACTATTGCCTTCTCAGTAATTTACGGTAAGTAAAAGGTTATACAATTTGACACAATGATCTTAGTTGGGCAAATGCATGGCCATCGTGCCACCTATATCCTTGTGATTTCCTGATTAACACATATATTTCACCAGGCGTTAGCTGTGGCTGACCTCCTGCTGTGTTCCAATTAAAATACGTCATTTCTGTTCCATCATTATATCTCCAAACAGCTGTTCCACTTGCGTTGTCTAAAAAACCTTGTATCCAGACTTCACCGTTATCAACTGTGTCTGAAGTGTACAATAAATTCGTTGTATTTCTGTTTTAAAGATTGTACGTTACTGAGTCAGTTTGACAGTAATGAAGTAAATATATATTGAAAAATTATTTAGCAGCAAACAGATACTTTAAAGCTAATCATCAGTTTCGACGGAGTGAAAACTGTTTAACAATTGTATGTGACTATACTCGGCATAGGTATAAGGCTTAAAATTGTGTACGCCAGACAGGTCTTTCGTCTAAAAACAACCATCAGTGACGCTTGAATAAAAAAATTTTAAAGGGCAAAATAAAGTACGAAATTGAAGGGCATTGAGGACCCCAAATTCCGAAAGGTTTTGCATTTACATAATCATTGATATCATTATTGCGGTTTGTTTTCGAAATAGGTGTATGAACTTAAATATATTGATTAACGCAAAACAATAATGTTGGGTACAATATGTAAGCGAATTCAAACCTTGTTTTAGGTAACATGTAACCCAACGCAAAATTCGATTGCTTCACGCGTTCATGTTTAATTCATGCATTATTCTGTATAAAAACCTTTGTGTTATTGAGTTATTATATGTTTATGAAACAATAACAAATGGATGAATATGCATGGACACGTATTAAAGTAATAACGGGAGGTATTCTGTCCAGTTAGGATTGTGTTTTTCGAGTGAACTCGTCGGATTTTTTTATTGTGACTACGTTTTTGTTTTCGAGTGAACATCAGGTTAAATTTAATGTAAAAATCTTCTTTCCTAATAATTATTAAAAACAGAAACTCCAAATAGATATATAAGGTTCGATCAAATTTGTAGTACAGTATTAAGGGGGTACCCAACACTATATCCCAAAAAAAACCTGCGACACTTTTCACAAAAAATCTTAAGAGTAAAAATAATCGTAAGTCATACACATTTCAGTATAACTTACGATCAATTTTAATCGTAAGATTTTTTGTGAACAGAGTCGCTGTCATTTAATTTTTCTTGTTTTCTCTCATTGAAAAACTAGGCCTAGCTTAAAATCTTGTAAAAATTTCAGAAGATTTGAACCATAGGTTTAAAAGATTTGGCAACTCAAATATGGCATCTTTTACATGCTAATATCGGCCAAGCTTGGAAGTTTCAGAAATATGGGTATAGGGGTATATATGTTAATATTTTCAAAAATAAATCCTAAATTGATAATAGCATAGTTTAAAGTGATAACTGAGACGAATTTTAGTTCACCGATACCCTTTACTTGTAAGTTTTTTATTCTGGATTTAATTTTTTGTCCGAACTAAAAAAGGCAGATCTCAGATTCAGCCCCCAAAATTGAATATGATGGGTCTAGTATTTGAAGAAGGATTTTTTTTTAAATGTGTCGTTTAATTTTTTCAAAAAACTAACCATTTGTAGTGCTATATCAGTCTGTTATTCTTGCAAAAATTTATAAAAATTTAACCACCAGATTTTTTTCAATTAAAGTTTAAAATATGCCCCCACCTTCAAATTGGCTCAATAAATAAGAGCCAGATCTATTCTGATAGTACATAATGGCCATAACTTTTTTTCTTTTGATCTAGGCTTTTGATATTTGACATGTGGATGAATCATCATGAGGTTAAGTGTCATGTATTATGATGACCTTCATGTGACCTTCAAATTTGAGCTTAATGTATTTTTTCGCAAGAAACACTACCAGTCCATAACTTCTTCATCTTTTGACCTAGGCCTTTCATCTTTGGCATGTGGATGTATCATCATGAGGTTGTATACCCCCGTTCAATTATGACCTTCATGTGACCTTGAACTTTGACCTCGAGGACGATAACTGTAGTGTTGGCAAGAAACACTTGTGCAGGCCATAACGAGTTGTGTTTTGACCTAGGCCTGAGATATTTGGCTTGTTAATTCAATTCAATTCAATTCAAAGTTTTGTTTAGAGTCAATATTTAGTAAACAAATACATATTACACAAGCTCTAATGAGCTATTCAAATCGACCATACAACAATATAGACACACATTATGACATATCAACAAATTCCATGCATACGAAATAACTAAAGTATCTGTTATCAAGACAAAAAAAATACATGTAGTTACATAAAAATTGCAAAAAAGTCTTAGATTCTATTAAGGCGAAGTGTACTTAACTACGCCACAGAATTTTCTTTAATTTCACATACAAATTCTGCTTGTAAAAGTACACCAAATAAAAAATAAAAAAGGGAGTAACCGTTTTCTTTTTTGAAATACGAGAGGTTAAAATTAACAGCATGAGACGCCAAAAATACAAAGGATACATAGCGAAAATTTTAAAAATCGGCAGATATTTTTACATTATCAAGATTTTCTATTTTGTTGGTCCACAAATTTAAAAATATATATATACGATTCAAAAATGAACGACGAATCCATTCTTGCAAATAACCACTGTTACAGCTCCTGAAAATTTGAACTAGGTAATAGCATAGAGCTGACCGTGCAAGATCCTTTAATTTGTGTAGTCAAGTTCGTTAAACATAGAATTTGATAGTATTTCTGCAGAGGCTAGGAAAATTGGATACAACTAGCTTTTAGATTAAAACAAATCAGTCTTTAAAATGCTATCAAATGTAAGGGTCTTAACTCATTTCACATATCATTCCACCAAATATCAAATTGCAGTTACAAGTGTCACATTATTTTTTGGCCCCCTTTTACTCTATTCAGTCATTATCTTGAAATGAGACTTGAGAAGAAAAACTTTACTTCAAAATTGCATTCACTACTTCGGAAAGATACACAAAAGCACAATAGAAGAAAACAAATTTCGCTATCCCTTCGAAATTAGAATTTGATAAAGCAAAAATAACATGTTCTATTTTTATCATGTGTAGTTTCAGTTTCAACCATGGTTCTAAATTTAGATTTTTTTTCCCCCTAAAAATTGCGGACGGAATAGAAGACACCTGTTTATTTTCTACACCTGTCAGGATAAAGGTTGAAAACTCAGAGTTGAATGACATAGTTTTTTTCTTATTGAGATCAATTTTAGTGTGCTCAATTCTTAGTTTCTGTGTAATGTTTTGTGGACTGAATCTGATGGGTTTTTTTTTATTGTCCACAGGCACTTATCTCAAAATTTCCTATATACCTTAACATAGCCAGAAATTAGTAGTACTTTTGCTAATTAATATTCATAATATGTAAATGAGAATTGTACCACGTGATAATAGTTTGAACTGGACTGGCTTTATATCATTAAAATCTTTAAAACACGGATATTATAAGTTGCCCGTCACAGAGTCCTTGTTCATAATCACTCTGATTTTCCGTAAAGTTGTCAGGCGGTCAAAATCAAAACAATGAACGCGAATTTAGTGAATTTTTCGTCTTTTCGTGAGTTTATTCTTCTTGAAATAGGGGCATTTTAACTTTACGTGGGAACCTAGAGTTCAACGACTACCCATACAAGGTTTGGGCTTACTTATTCTTTGGACATTCAAGTTTCAAGTTTCATCCCCGCAACCTGTTTTTAATGGCCTTGTTAGCCAATTTTCAACACGAAGTTTGCAAATTTGACGTTTCAGCCATTTTAGCCTGTATTTTATACTGCAATGTTAAAAGCCTCTCGCTTCGATTTTTAAAATAGCTCAGGAACCTTGATTTTTGCAACGACAGTCATTATGTTTCGTTTAAATGGTGTATATTGTTGTGTATATTTGTTTTCTGTCCCCGCAACCTGTCTATCACTTAAATTAAAGTTAAAACAGATATTTTTTTTCAAAATTCCCTATCATTTCAATATAATTTCCGTGACCCGTATCCGATTTCTTTAGTATAATATTCAAATCAGCAAAGTGGCGTTGATTTCTGGATATGATATATATAGGTATATAGGAAATTCTTTTTCTGAGACAAGTGCCTGTGTCTTTGTCCCTCGACTTGTAAATGGTGCACTAGTGGTTGATTATTCCTTTGGTATCTTTTTACTTTTCTATATGATTATAAATCATGTCCTAAAATTTTCAATTGCATAAAAAACGAACATGCCAGCGTTTTTCAACACATAAATTCACATGTCATATATAAATTATTCGTAACCTACAATATTTTACATTACTAAGTGTATTTCATTCAAAACTACAGTTTCAAAAAAAAAGTATCGTGGAATCAAATTGGTACGAATAGAAGCAGAATTGTCCTTGGTTTATTTATTTATTTGGTTATATTTTTATTGTTAGGCATTCTTACTTTCTGTTGATATAAACACGAGTCGTATTGAACAAAACCTTAATAGAGTCAGACTAACTGTAACAATTAAATACTCAGATTTCTCATTGGAGTCAATTCTGATAATTTCATAGAAGTTTTAAGACAGCACGTGCATACTTTTTGGATTCAATATAGACGACACAAAGTTATTTCTCTTTCGTGAGCCAATTTTTCCTTTCTAGGAGTAAGGGAGGTCATTAAAACGCCGCTAAACCCAAATAACTTTTCTCCTGCTGATAGGTGGAAAGGGTACTTGCAAATACAACAGTACATGCCTGAAGCAAGCAGGTCTAGTTAAACTATTATTCTCCCCAAAACCTAGGACTGTGGTTTCCCATAAAAGGGATTAGTAACCTCAACCTCTGCTGCTATATCAATGTAGTTTTGAATATAGCTTTAGTGTTCATTAAAGTCAATAAAGATGCCAAAATAGTTAAACACGTCTGGGTCCTTCTGTTTTCCTTCATTTGCCCATTTGAAAAAATCTGCTTTTCTTTTTTAAATTTATGTTGCTTTGAAATTTTTCTCTTTGGTCTCTTTAAAGATTCATTTATGGAAAATGTGTAACTATAAATAGATTAAACAGAGGCGGATAAAGAGTGTTTCCCCCCCCCCCCCCTTTATGAAAATTTTTTGATCCGCCACTGTTAAAAGATTAAACTAATAACAATAGATGTACATCTGCTCTTAGCAACAATGTAAACCTTCTGATCTGGATCTTTTAAATTCTTGCATATTGCATGTGATTTTAAAACGCTGCAATGAAACAAACTATGAGTAAGAGTCATCTTTCTTAGGTGTTCCGTATCCCCTTAATTGCATTGATATGAGTTTTAAAAATTGAATGTACGGTAACCCTTAAAATAAAATGCGTTTATCAAAATTTTATAATTAAGCCTTTCCTATACACATACAAAATTCTGATTATAAATGAAAATAAATTACTAGAATCAATAATTTCTAACATTGGCAAACATTTACCAAAAGAATTGAAATCGGACGAAAAAGTACTTGTTGAGACTAACTTAATTTCTATACATGTCTGGATTTTTTTCGAGTAAAAATCAATATTCCTATGGATTTGTTTCACATCTATTAAACTTGTACTTGTGTTCTTTGTGACCCAAAACACAGACTCAATGTTTTCATTTTCTTTTTTTTTCTAGATGTTAATGTTGTTTTCATAATACCGTAGTACAATAAACAAATGTTCCAAACTAGCATGTGTAATACTTGGTCATGTAGTAAAAACACACCGCGAAAGCTTTTTAAAATTAGTTATTTGGTTATTTTACAAAGTCATCTATGGCAATAAACATTATAGGAGCCCCAAATTTAATATACTTCCATACAAACATAAGACCACTAAATAGAACGAGGCAACATACAAGTATAATAGGATATCTCTGTCGTTTTCTATGAAATACGAGGATATAATGTTTCTATGTGAATTAAAGTGTTAAGGACAAATGATAAGCAGCCCAACGACAAATATAACCAAACGACATGTGAAGTACAGCATACAGTCTTCAACAATAGACATGTGGCAATACAATACCAAGCTCTAAACCCCGAGTGCATAATTATAGTTCTAAATAAAATAGGTACAATCAAATTCCGGGAATTGCAAATCTAGTTCAGATCTTCAATAACAGTAACACTCATCAATTCATTTAATAAGAGTAACAAAACGGAAGTCACCAGTGGAGCAGGAACGACTGACCCTTCCAGAGCAATTGATTTTATCCTCGGTTTTTGGTGGAGTTCTTGCTGCTTTTTCTCACCACCTTTTTATTGCTGATCCATGACAGATGTATTGTATTTTTCAAACAGGTACTTTTTTGTTCTAAATCTACGAACGCAACGAAGGACATTTACCTATATAGCTAACTAAAAGCACGTGGCGTACGCATATTTTATACATATTTTTTTCGCTGTTCTGACAGTGTTCTTTTCAAAGGATTAAACTAATTTGTTTTAAACGTTAATGTATGTTATTTGTTCCAATGTGTTTTATATTTTCAATTTAAGTTCTGTTGCTGTTAAACTTTAAGTGTGCGGAAAGAAACTTAGCATTTGCAAATAAATCAAGCATGATATAATATGGAACCAAAAAGAGGCGAAAGATACCAAAGGGACATTCAAACTCATGAGTCGAAAATAAATTAACAACGACATGGCATAAAAAAGACCAAAGGAAAAGCAACAGTATACAAAACACAACACAGAAAACTTAAATTGAGCAATACGAAGCCCACAAAAACCGGGGGTGATCTCGGGTGCTCCGGAATGGTAAGCAGATCCTGCTCCACATGTGGCATCTGTCGTGTTGCTCATGTAAGTGCATGATCAAGTTGTGCATTTCCATTTAACCATACCTAGATATGTTTCCATTCTTTTTTGTAAAACTTCTGTGTCTATTCTTGCTAGCTCAGCTCCATCGAGCAAACATTGCATCGTGGCATTATCATACTGTGACGCTGTATTAATGTACTTAAAGCAAAAACATAAATCAGCATAATAAATGTAACCATTGGAAACAGGACACCTTTCACTTAATGCCATACATTCTGAAAAAAAATATGTGCTTATAATAGTAACAGAACACAATACTTTTTTTTTAAATCTAAAATAACTAATCGATTGAGATGTTTCTCAACATTTCTTTTCTAGCTTTGTAAAACTTCCTTTGAAATATCAATCGTATAACTGCTGGGATCAAGAACATTCCATTGATGTTACCCCATTTCAAATAATAAGTTTCTTATTTGTTTAGTTAAATCCCACCCATTGTAAAGCGAAGATCATTTAAACACAGTCCGTTTTCGTCCATCCGTCCTCTCTCAATCCATTTGTTGACCGGACATTTAAATGCAGGTTATTGCTGTAGTATAAGATAATATTTAACAGGACTGTAAGGATGAGTGACAATTCGAGATCGCGCTGCGTGTTGAGTTACCATTTTAATGGAATTACTGGCCTTGTGATTTGGTAAAAACGGGGGTATATGTGACGTCCCTGTACATCTAGTTTTAAAAATATACGATACCCTTTTCTCAAGGCAACGTTGATCTTTGGTAAAATGATTTTTCATTCTTTTACGTGATTTGTAAGAATGCTTTCATAAGTTAAGCCAGTATGGGTTTAAAGGAAATTTAAAAATAGATCTCGCCTGTTTTAGGATATCATAAGAAATACGATATCCGGTATACATAAAACAATAATAGCTTAAAAAACATTTAATTCCTGTATTTTATAATACATGACGTATAAGATTAAAAAGTCATTTTAAAGCGTAAGCTGAAGAAAATTGTGTCATCAAGATTATTTTGTGAACAGCCATTATATTTAATTGACTCCTATTACTATATAAATAGTATAATCTGTGTATGTAAATAATCTAATCCTTGTTTGTTCATGACTTTGCGGTAAAAGCAGATTATTTACACATAAAAAACACAACTTTTTCCATATCGGTATGAAAATAAGGAGATGTGTTATGATTGCCAATGAGACAGCTACCAACCAGAGTTCAAACGATGAAGATATTTAAATGTCCCGGTTGTCATAATACCTAGACTTTCATTTAGCCGGAGGCGCTATCCGAGTGTGTAATGATTACCGTTCGGATATGGAAAAGGTCGGGCATTAATCTGTTTATCATACATGTATACTTCCGATATACGAACCCCCGCCCCCTCTCCCCAACTGATAACCTAATATCAGCCATATCAAGTGACACAAGGCTTGACTAATATAGGATTATCAGCCTATGTATGTTCGAACAACACTTTTAAAAATATTTACCCTATTGTGTTGATAAATGCCATACTTTTATGGTTTTATTAATTATGCAGAGCTGGACTTATCTTTGATTAGTATATGATTAGTACCGATTATAAGGTATTCTAATTTCTTGACCAGTGAAGGCATCGAACGAGTTTGAAAAACTTCCCTTTGTGTCGCGCAGCTGGATTTTATTATATCAATATGATGAAATGTAAATCGATTTATCGGATTGCATATGTGTGTTATGCACGATAGAAATAATAGTTTTTCTCTGTTTTACTAGCAAACCGAAGGAGGTTTTAATAATTTATGACCAAACTTATCAACGACTGGTGAAACATATGTGAAGTTACAAAGCCGTGCGATTAAGCTTTTTGTTAAAAAAATGTATGATGTCCATGTGTAAAACACGTGTTTCTGATTTATTCATCATAAGATACGCCCGAGCCCAAAAATGTTTCGAAAGGCCACAATTGAAAAGCATAAAATCGAAGGGACCTTACAGCCATGATCAATTTTCCCTGAAGGAGTTACAACCTTTTACGAACTGTATTTACAAAATTAATTAATCGTTATCATGATATGGCTACTGGGCTAGGCGGGTGGTATCTTCTGGGTCTCGATGTTAACCAGTAGCAGTACCGACCTAGTGGGAGTCAAACCGTTTGATAATATTTCAGTACGAACAGCGCGTGATAATTCACGATAAGCAATGTCATGATAATGTTACAAAAACAGTTATAACAATGTCAAAATCATTAAAGGGAAAATTTGCGAATTTTGACTTATCATCTAAAATTGTTCATAATACCATATAAACATAATCAACAAGTGGAATAAAGTATATATATTATACAAGCTTATTACAGGGGTTATTAGATAATTATGGTTTCCTTTATTGCTTAATGTTTAAGAAATCAATTCGTTATCAAAAGTTGTCTTTTTTGCTCATTTGAATAACTTTATTTACTTTATCATTGTTTATTGTATTCATATGAATTGGAGCGTATTTTCCATAAGAAGTTTTATATAAAGTCGCATAATCTGACAACTGCATTGTGTCAAAAGGGGATGGAAAGTAGACATGTACCTGCATTACTTAAACCTATCTCCTATGTTGTGCATATATTTACAGCCAGATATGATAGAACAAGACAAATGAAAAAAAAAACAAATGATAACAGTGCAAGAGAGTAAGTCTTAGTCCTTTCATTTACACATAAAAAAAATGTAACTATAACAAACATTCAAAACCAATTCATTTCAAAGCACAGGGACGCAATATATAGTGCGTCGTCTTCTTTAAACCAAATTCGTTGTTAAATGGAAAATTTATTCTGGAAAATACAAACGCGCACTACAGAATTATAAAATTGTTAAACAGTGTCAACAAAATCTGGAGTAAATCGGTTAGTGCATGCACTACATATTTCCTTTTAAAAATGCGAAACTTAAATAGAGCGAAATAAAACATGATAATTAAATAAGATGTCTCACAGGCAAAACAATAGAATTAGAATATATTAAGTATTGAACATTTCTTTCTTTTCAATCTACGTTTGACTTTATAATTTATTACATAGAATACCAATTTATTTCTCTAATACTCGATTGTTAATAAGGAGTCAACTTGTCAATTATATACAGTGCTGGTGCACGTTGTCGCTTTTAGTTCATTTTAGATGAGGGAAAATGATAGAAGTAAATAGATTAGAGGCAACAGTAGGTTACCAATTTTCGAATCTCATTAATTCATTTAAAAGATAGAAATCTACTTGAAGGTGAAAAGTTAAACCTGAAGCTTCAAAATTATTGACTGTAGTTTTAGCTCACCAGCTATTCTCATCACTTGGCGTCCGTTTTCCGTAGTCTATCGTCCGTGTCCGTTGTAGTTTGTAGTTTGTTAATTTGAAAAAAAATCATCTCCTCTGAAACTACTACTAGGCCAATGGGAACCAAATTCGGCCATAATCATCAATGGTATACATTTGTATCTTGTTTTAAAAAAAAGTGTTCGAGATCTACCTAGTGTCGATCTACAATAAAAGTGTCAGACGACTACTTATAGGAGTTATTGCCATTAAATGACTTTATCAATTGTTTTAAATTTTGACTATTATCTTAAAAACTAAAAATAGAAACAGAGAAACTTAATATAGCAAAAATGATAAGCAAGACAAAATCTACTAATAAGCCAACATAGCCGAAATCATCAGACGACTTCTGATAGGAGTTATTGCCCTTAAATGACGATTTTTACTTTTTTTCAATTTTGCCTATTACGATGAAAATTATAGTGCTTAGAGAAAAACTTTGGTTTTGGTCAATTATCTTGAAAACTATATTAAATTGAAAGAAAAAAATGTTTGAGTTTTTTGCCTTTCATTTTGGAAACTGTAATAGATAAGAGAGACTTCATATAGCAAAACTGCAGATCATCAAGAAAAAATCTTCAAATGAGTCAACATTGACAAAATTGTCAGTTGACTCCTGAGGAGTTTTTGCTCCTGATTGGCTATTTTTTAGGCTTTTTTGTGTTTTGGGCAAACATAAGTACAGATAGAGATAGACTGTAAAAAAAATTATCAACAAAATTGTCAGTCAAATCCTAATAGGAGTTACTGTCCTTGAATGATGATTTTTACGCGTGTTTGTATTTGAGCAAATATTATAGCAGAAATCTTATCAGCAATTATAATATCAACAAAAATGAGATGTCAATTATTTCCAGTGAATTCTATTATAGTTTACAATGTTGTAGGGTAGCCATTGTTGAAGATGCACTTTGATAGAGTTGACAGTGTTTAATAATAGTTTAAATGTCTTCTCACTCACCATTATTATTTCTAGTCAATATAACAGCCAAAAACACAGAACTTGCAACACAGCATCCAACAAACAATCCAAGTACACAGCACAACCAATATTTTTTATTTGATTTTAATTCCTTGACGTGTAAATTGTCTTTTTTTAATTGTAAATCATCATAAGTATTAATATTATTATCTTTCTCACGTTTTAGACTTTCATATTGATTAATTTGTTCTGCAGTAATTCCTCGAAATCCTTTCAAATTTTCTTCCCGAATAGAGTTAACGTTATAGTAAGGACTATCCATGGCATGCAAGGAAATTAAGTACAAGTTAAACTATTGAACTGAAACACGAGTACTTATAACTGTGTCGTAACATTATCATTGAAATGGGATGTTCATCTCCTACTTATTAGTGAATCACAATGAATCAATGGTCATTTTCCGGCTTAATAGTGACGGTATTTGTGTTTATCTTATACTATACATCCGTTAAAAACTTAACTTTCACACGCTATGTTTAGTATTATGAAAAAAAGTAGAAAACTTGATTTACCTATTGATATAAGCTTGGGATGTTTTATGCAATGATTTTACCTATTTTAATGTATGGTTGTGAGAATTGGAGTTTTACCATTAACAGTTTAAAGGAATCATTCTGTCTGTAATTTTATAGATATGTACTTTGAAGAAATGTATGTTGAACTAGAGAAAATTTCCTATTGGTTTCTATCAAAAGCAGAATGGTTGAATTTTGGAAAAGAATTATCTGTAATAAGCAAGATAAAATTGCTTGACTTTGTACATATTATTAGATAACATGCATATGAAATAAAATTTCCATTCTAAACGGATTGTTTGTATTTAAAATACCTTGAAAGAGTGTGGTCTTTCAGAGTACTGGCTGTCACAAAGTGTATATATACCAAAGAATGTAAATGGATCAAATCTAGTCAAACATTGTCTCTGTGATCAGTTAAAGCAAACATAAAAATATTTTGAAAATAATTAGAAATAAAGAAAAGGTTACATAATACGCCTATTTCGAGAATAAGAAACAAACTGCAAGTACTCACAAGCGGTTTTTGTTCGTACTGGTCGACAAAGTAGCAATTAATGTGGTGGTGGTATGACGTAAATACTACACGGATGTTCTCAAGAATGAAATTAAAATTTTTTCGACATTCGAAATCAGGTTCGCTCCATAGAGAGTCATATAGTGAACAATTATATCATTACATATCTCAGCTTAATTATAAATAAGAAGATGTGGTATGAGTGCCAATGAGACAACTCTCCATCCAAGTCACAAAAGTTAACAATTATAGGTCAAAATACGGCCCTCAACAAGGAGCCTTGGCTCACACTGAACAGCAAGCTATAAAGGGCCCCCAAAATGACTAGTGTAAAACAATTCAAACAGGAAAACCAACGGTCTAATCTATATAAAAAACGAGAAACGAGAAACACATATAAACCACACCAACAAAAAAGACAACTACTGAACAACAGACTCCTGACTTAGTACAGGTGCATAAAAATGCAGCAGGTTTAAACGTTTTAACAGGCGCCAACCTTCACCCTAATCTGAGACATTAGTGCAACATTACAAAATAAAAAGACGCACTATAAAACATCAATTGAAAGTCCTCTTCTGAACATTTGAAGCTCCGTACTATGTATTGGTTACCTTAACTTCACAAAAAAAACGTAAAATATCGTTTTATCTCGGCCTCTAGTAAGTGTTCTACAACTAATCTTTCAGTGCTTTTCAGTTCCTTAACTACAAAGTCAAAGAACGTATCGATAACTTTCGTGATAAAGCATATAAAAATAGTGGAATTACCTTTTTTGGAATTTAAACAATTCTTTGGGTGTTTTAGATAAATCGCGTGGTTTGGATGGGCCTTTTAATTCGGTTAGTTTTTCAAACTGTACACAAACATTTACAACAAATGGAACGATTTTTCGTTCCCTATCGTTAATTTTCCTTTCTTGTACGGTGATGTTCCTTTGGCAACCTCTAACGGTGTTTATTTATTCCAACTCGTTTGCTATGCCAGAGTCTGTAGTTCTTAGATTTCAATGAACATGATCTATGTATTACTGGTAATTTATTACGTCAAGGAACTTTCTACCACACATTTCTTTTTAACCTTTACTAAATTATTTCATAGATACACATATTTAGTTAAGAAGTTTGGCTGTACCTGTAGAAAACTAATTATAGGATATATTGTTTATCGAGCCCGTAAACTTTGATACGATCCGGCTTACCTTATCGACCCTTTAAATGAACTTACTCTAAAAGGTTGTCAATTGCTAATGAGCCAACTCTCCACCAGAGACCAAATTACATAGAAGTTAACAAGTTTAGGCCACCGTACGGCCTTCAACAATGAGCAAAGCCCATACCGCATAGTCAGCTATAAAAGACCCCGAAATGACAAATGTAAAACAATTCAAACGAGAAAACTAACGGTCTCATTTATGTACAAAACAATGAATGAAAAACAAGTATGATATACAGCAGCAAACGACAACCACTGAATTACAGGCTCATGACTTGGGATAGTTTCTTGTCAAATTTGCAAAGTTTAGTAAAATTGTTTTGTCTGTTATAGATTAGGTTTGCCTGCCACTGTAAATTCCATAAAATATGTACTTCATATCATTGCATATGTACCCATGTCATTCCATTAATTTCATTGCTTTTTTCAGCTGTTAATATTCACATACCCCTGATGATGTCTTCAGAAATAAAAGTTTCAAGTTTCAGTGGTCACGAAATGCTTCTTAAAAGTAAGATCACTTATCTAAAGGTTGATAATATCTAATAAATTAAGCTTATATTTATACAGATGCAGTTTTTACTATACAAAAACAAAAATTATAATTCTAATTTGATATATCTAATTCGGGTTTTGAAATATAATACAGTAAAAATGAGGGCATTGCATTTGCGTAAATTTTTGAAAAATACCATATTACGTTTACACCACAAAGTTATATTTCATTTGCGCCAAAAATAAATACTTATTTTGCGCAATTTTTCAGGTCACATACATGACGGTTAAAGTTTCAATATATCCCAGAAACGATCCTCGTAAATGAAATTTTGTAGAATACCTCCAGAGTATGTAAGCAAGTATTTGTATAGCAAGAATCCTCTTACGATACAAATCCTTGGTTAGTTCATACTCTTTCCTCATACATTCCTGCAAGTCAGTAAGGTATATAATTGTACAATGTTCTGAATCAAATTTTCGAGGTGACAGAATGACCATAATTCAAACTGAGACAAACAAAGGAAATGAATACGTATTTTATTTTCGTACAGACAGATTATCCAGTGTATTGAAGAACAGAGCCAAGTCTTAAAGAAGAATCACTTTGACAACAGGTAGGAACACGTATAATTTTATGATGCAAACCAAAGATGTAGATATTGTGTTTTAAATTCATTATCAACATCCTTAGGATCTTAGCATGCTCGATGTCCTACCTACTATCTCCCCATGGTAGATGACGAGGGGTAACATGTACTGCTGGTGAATGGAATAGCTTAATACAAGTAGATTATAATATAAACTATTAAATAGTCAAAATATATACATTATTATTATTCATACTATTTACCTTTAATCTTGGTGCAATTTTGTTCTGGGGTTTATGAAATATCATGGTTTGCGGCGCTAATGAACGATTGTTTTGGCGCATATGAAATTCCAATTGGTGCATATACAAAGCGCCGGTAAAATTTCAGAAATTTGAAATCTGAAATTTAGTATCTCTCTTTTAACCACTCAACAGAAAGTTTTTAAATAACGAAACTAAAGACAATCAAATGCCGGTTAACAATGTAACCAAATGTCATGATGCAAAATAAACGCATGATTTAAATAAAATAATTTTAATAAAAACTCTTTTTTCTAATTTTATTAGGGGCCGTGCCTTGTTAATTAAAGGCAGTAGTTGCTCCCGCAATTTCTAAAGGGGGCATAGACTTTACCAAACTACGTACGTTGGTCGTTTCCGTTCCGGAACTACAAATGTATTTTCCTTTACTCCATTAGAGTAGAGTAGAGTAGTATGCAGATCGGAGCTGGAACTGCCGGGGAGTTTAAGACTTTATACGATTATTCTTGGAAAAAGTGAGTATTTGCCGATATTTTACGTAATTTATAAATAAAATGTTAGTCCGACATCCTATATCGCAATCAATTCTGCAAGCTTATAAAAATCGTTATACAAAACAATAACAATGTCATTATAGAAATAGCGAAATTTTAAGTGGCTCAGACTAAATGAAAATGAATGTTAAAAAGGACCAAAATAAAACTAAACGTTGAGGTTGTCTTTTGGTAATGTCTTAGGGTTAGATAAGAGTCAATTACCAATCCGCTAATGATGCCTAACCACTTGATATAACTTATCAAGGTAATTTATAGGAGTATCAAGACGGGTATCACATGTGGAGTAAGATATACATGTACCTACCCTTCAAGAGCACATGCAATCCCCCAGTATTTTGGTGGGGTTCGTGTTGCCCTGTCTTAAGTTTTCTATGTTGTTATGAAATTTGTGGACTTTGTTGTCTTTTTGTCGTTTTCTTTAGGGAGTCAGTTTATCTTCGAAATATGGGTTTTGAATGTCTCTTTGATATCTCCCGTCTCTTTTTTTCAAACCAATGAAAATATGACCCAGGCTTTGTACAAAAAAATCAGTCATTATTAGAATGATGATTCACTTAGATGTCATTTGGAAAAGATATTCCAGATGTTGCGTTTCAAATCATAAAAAACGGAATTCAGAAATTCGGATTTTTTTTTCTCGAGTTTACAATTTTGAAATAGCATTACGACTCTTTAATCTTGAATTTCAAATTCCTGACATCAAATCTCAATTTTTAGTTTGGATCTCAAAAGAACTGTCTGCGCTATTTCGAAATTTTCGTGGCAAAGTCTGTAATCTTCATGTTAAAACGTTTTAAGACTAATAAATGCAAACCTTTGTTGGTCGTGAAATAATTCCATCCTATTTCTGGAGTCACAGTTACGGAAGTCAAATTAATATATTCCACATCCCAAAGATAGCAGTTATTAGTTATGTTATTATAAGACCATGACATACAACCATTTAATTCCAAGCAGAATGCTCCACATTTAAGATTACTCGAGGCCATTTGCATCTCCATTACAGTTTCGATGATTTTTAAATTGATGAAGTATTTTTTTCGAAATCCGTACATGTTCCGATATACAGCAAAACAGTACACAACTAAGG